ATTACCATGATTCTTTGTGTTATTGTTGTCATATGATGCCTATCTGCATTGTTTACTGGCAGTTTGTCTCTCTCTCTCCCTCCCTATTTATCTGTTCCCTGATTACATGACAGGCAGAAATATGGGATTTAATATGAATCATGAATGTTTGTAACTAATAATAATAAAAATTAATAGTCATTGTAATAATAATTGCTCTCTTCAGTTTTCAATCGAGACTGCCAATGTAAGACTGAATTACTGATGCATGGGATAATCATTTTTGATGTCAAGTACGGTCAGCATCAATGGGAAACTGCTTCTCGTGCTTTAAGGTGCCACTTCCACCAACCAGCACTGATCAATCTACCACATTGGAGCATAAAGACGGTGAATATGCATTATATTACATTATTGTATGTTGCTTTTAGACATGAGCAAATTGCTTTTTATAGATGACAGTGAGATGACAATATGCAATACATTTATTCAATTATCAGTGATATTTCTAACTGAGAATGATACTCTTGTCACTTCATAAATTCATTTTATTCTCTTATCACGTTTTGTAGAAACAATGGAACTCAGAGGTCTGTTCCAAAATTCTTGCCAACAATCTGGTTCTTTCGTGCCTGAAACACATGTGAACGGGAACAGAAAGTCCATAAGTACACTACCTACATTTAACAATGTAGGTTCCGATAATTGTGGATCTGTGCCCAGTGTACAAAGTAATTTGCGTTTGTCGAGGGGATTTTATGCGCGATTACCACCGTTAGGACGTTCTGGTACAACGTCGGGTCTCAATTTATCCACCGAACTTAAGCAACAAAAGGAACCATCTGAGAGCAAATTGAACGCCCTTTTCGACCAATATAAGGTAAAGCAAGCGTAAAATATATATTTATTTCCACTCCAAATAGGCATAATGTACTATGTATCTTTAGAAGTTTAGTTTATTCACCTAAACTGTTTAAAATAATACAAAAATTAACATTACATTTGTCGCAATAAAATATATTCATATTTAAAGTGTAATGTGACTTGTTTGGACTGTTTATAAGAAATTTAATATTGGATATTGCAATTTTGTGACCTTATGGTAGAAGTAATATTGATGATTATTATTTCAGTGTAACTTTGTAAAAAAATACTATCCAAATAAAAAATTTACCGTTATAAACGTTAGGGAACACAACATAGAAGAGTAGATAATATTCACTGTACCGTTTTTCTCTAATAGTCGATTGTAAATCAAAAAATTGCTGTCTTATACTTTAAGTAGTATTGTACTGAGTAAATCGTGGCAAGAGAGTATCAGAAAGTTGGCTTTAAATTAAAGTTTATTACTTAGTATCGTATTAAGGGTCTACGACTAATATCTTATTGTATTTGCTTTTAAGGATCCTCATGAGGACGTAATATTAGCTGACGGAATAGAAAGACTTTGTGATGACTTACAATTGTCGCCTGACGAATTTAAAGTTCTTGTTCTGGCATGGAAACTAAACGCGGAGCAGATGTGCCAATTCACGCGCCATGAGTTCGTCACGGGACTGAAGGCGATGAAAGTCGACAGTATACGCGGTATACAGGCTCGCTTGCCCGAGATCGTTCAGGAATTGACGGCCAATGGCGACCTGTTCAAGGATCTCTATCGATTCACATTCCGATTCGGCCTCGACGTGACGTCCGGACAGAGAATTTTGCCGGCCGACATGGCGATCGTTCTTTGGAAACTCGTCTTCACGATACGCGAACCTCCACTTCTGATCAGGTGGCTCAACTTCCTCGAATGTCATCACATCCGTGGAATACCTAGAGACACGTGGAATATGTTTCTCAACTTCGCCGAGAGCATCGGGGACGATCTCGGTGCTTACGACGATGCTGAGGCGTGGCCAAGTTTGTTCGACGATTTCGTGGAATACGAGAACGACCAGATGAACCAAAATATCACTAAAGACGACATTATAAAAGATGCTTCTATCGACAAAGCTTAAATGTTTGTATTCTAAGAAACGACAAAGTGAAGCGAGCATATTACTGTCTTATAATCCGACCTTTGAACAGGATCGTCCGATATATTGTGGGAAGCATAGTCCATGTTTTATTCCTGTTGGTATGACCACAAAAGTGATACTTCGGATTTACTCTATTGCTTTTCTTTTTTTTCTTCTTTTGTTATTGCGTCATATTTGTTTTCACGCGGCATCGTATATCTTTCTATGTAAATATAGCTATTTTATTTTACATAATTTTATTATTATTTAATTACGTTTTGTCATATGTGTGTATGATACGAAAGATCTTTGTATCGCAGATATTTTAACAGCGCAGCTGACGATAAATATATATTCGCGCATATCTTTTTATACGATTTCGGTTACACACACACAACAGTCTCGGTCGAAGTTATTCATGCGTTTTGATTGTAGTAACATAAACATTGTCGAGTTTTCTATGCAATGTTATTGAATTAATTATGTGATCGCTTATGATAACGAATTGCGTTTGCTGAATAATTGTATAATGATGGTGCTTATACATTTACATTGCATGGTTAGTTACAAGAATGATAAACTTTTCTTATTTTACGAGAAATTTAGGGTTTATATGCATAAAGCTTTCGTCAGACGATGCTTGATTTCGTATATTTTTACATGCATGCTGCCAGGTGGTTGCTGGCAAGTAATTCAATTTATTGCGTAGATTGCTACATAATTAGAAGGCCTGTGCAGTGCATTTGAAGATCTATGCAGTGAACTGAGTTTCTTATTGCCATGCTTGGCAGTATATATATAAAAACTCACGAAATTGCGCATCATTTCATGATTTAACTACTACATAGAATTTTCAGTATATTTTTTTTTTGTTGGACCATACTTCATGTAAACAATGCATCTTGAAATTCTAGTAAATAACTAACAATGCATCTGAAATATACTAATAATTTATTTATTGTAAGTGGATAAAAATTTAAAACGTGCAAAACGAACGTAAATTCGATATAGCAATTTGTAAAATTATAGCTTTAAGAAACAATAACTATAAAGTGAATTATTGCTAACATGAAATTACGTTTGGCTATTGAATTATATTTTCAATATATTAAAAGACAACACATGAAGTATTGGTATAATAATAAGTATCATCATTACTTTTTAGTTCCCGTATAAAGTTATATTCAATTGCAATGTTATTATGGTCTGTTTGAATTTGAAATTCCAAGCAGCTAAAGATAGCTTCTATCTTCCACGCTATAATCGCTCTTAGCATGGAAAACATTAATTACTTATTTTATCCACAAAGTAAGAGTTTTATTTACATCATTATTTATGAACGTTAATAGCTTTATATTAAATTGAAAATTATATTTATGTGATAAGATGATGAATTATAAGTCGGAAAGGTCATTGCGGAATAGCGCCTGTGTTGTAAAAGTCTTATAAATTAGACTATAAAAAATATTTCTTAGGAAATTTTGCTAGAAATATTCGGTGTCAGAGATTCTCTGTAGAGATGAAAGCTTTAGTAAATATCCTGAGATTCTGTTCAAAGGAGTACGTTCAGGGAAAAGCGAGAAATGTAATTTTGCATAAGGAAAAGTTTAGAAATGAATTCTCACACAATCCAAATTTGTGATACAGTGTGTATAAGTATATATACAGGATGAATCGCACACTTACAGGATGGATTGTAGTTCTTGTTTCGTTGAAGACGGAAAGAAATTGTGAAGGGAAAAGACGCTTTTTTCGTAAGCGGAGTGTCAGAGAAGTGCGATTATATCTTTTTGGTCTGTAGGAAAAATAGAGTCTCTTCCTCTCTCTCACATCACTTGCTTCTTTTACCTTTATCATTTATATTCCATATTTAACGAAACACTTCTTGTCTCGACGGCGTGACTCATTCTGTATAGTTTCCAATGCATTAATATTTCTTACATTTTTTGAGGATACTGTTAAAACAGTGAACAAATGTAAAAAGAAAAGTGAAATATCTCATATTATACAAAGATCCTAAAAATTTACCTGATTGAATATGTGTATGTATGTATATACATATATACATATATATATACACACACACACACACACACATATATATATATATATATGTGTGTACACACACAGGATATTCTACTTCTACCACGTTATTTTTGATAGATTCTTTGATCGATTTGGAGTCGAATTTTTTTTCAAGTGACAATGTTGATGCACTTAAAATTTTCAAATTATAACTGATTAAGATTCCTCGCGTACTAGACTTTAGGCAGCTCAGTGGATACGAAAACCACGTTTCTCAGCTAATTTTTGAGGAAAAAATTTGGGAATTGTAAAAAGTGATTTCCTCCCTCAACATTTACACTAAGGAAAAATCGTCTCCAAATTGTTTGTACAATCTGCTGTTATAAAACAATGCGGCAGAAATGGCATACCCTGTATGTATAATTAGAATTAGTGTGTATATGACGTACATTTGTCCAAAACTCACGTAACATATTAATGTGACGCGGTGTACTTGTTACGAAAATTTCAGTCATGTGCAACTAATGTTCATCTAACGATATTGCGAACAATGGAAAGTGTATAAATTTAACTTCAATTATGTTCCTATATTTATTTGTTTCTTTATTTTCTTTAAGGAAAGCCTTGATAACGTGCTGAGAAAAGGAAGGATATTAGCTTGATTAGTGCAGTGAATAGTAACGATATTTAACGACATGTGTAACATTAAGAGCGAAAAAGAGATCTTTCATTTCTAAATTTTACAACAAAAAGGTTGTCTATATACTTGTATATAGTGCCATGTCTTTCCGAGGTGATGAAAAAAGATCTCTATTGAATTTTATCGAGATAAAACTATTGGAAAACTACAAAATATCAATCCAACAAAAGACATGATATATGTACATCATATTATTCTGATAGTATATTTTTTTCTATGAGTAATTTTCTATCCCGACATGAGCTAGAATGGAGAGAGAAAAAAGGGAAAAGAAAAAATTAATAATTCTGCAAGATATTTTCGGAAGTACTGTGCTTGAAAACTTTCACCGTCCTTTTGTCCGCAGTACCTGATGCAGGTACAATATTATAGATACCAAGGCTTGAAAGTACGATTTAGATTTTAAAAACTATGCTCATGCAGAGGGTTTCATGCAGTTAAGCGCAACACGATGATATTAACATGTTTTAGTCATGAATTTATACTTTAGACCGATTAAATAATTTATTGCGTTATCCTTGGCATTTGTCTCTCTATAGCTCTGATATTTTAAAATTATATTTCCAGTCGCAGTGGACACATACAGATTTCTCGTAAAGATAATTTAGAAAGTTCCTAATCTCGCTCGAAGAAGAGAGAGCTTCATCGATATATATTTATCAAATTCTATATACATAATTTTGGACGCGTGCCTCTAATAAATCGACTTTTATCAAAATCGAAAATCTCTGTATCAGCATGACCTATCTTCTAAGTTTTGGAATTTGTTTTGGATATACGAACATACATTACTCAGCAGACGCACATGTATTATTAATACACTTTTTACTTTCAGCGACTTAAGCAAATGCTTAAATTTAAACTTAAGCGGATGCTTACCTAAGAGTTAGATTTACCTATATGTATATTATATATACCTGGCTATACAATGGCTCATGATTTTTTAACGCTTCCACTTAATTGTTAAACTACAGATTAGTCTTAAGGATCGCATAGGACGACTTTCATTGTGATAATTCCTAATCAGGTCGAGTCTGGTAAACAAGGGAAAGAAAAAGAAAAAAAGATACTGTTGTCAAAACGAGAGTAAATAGAGAAACTAAAGTAACAGTGATAACAGTGTTAAGGATCAAGTGATAGATATAAGCAGAATCCGCACGTGTGTGCGCGCGCGCGATAGAGAAAGAGAGAAAGAAAAAAAGAGTGATTGGATGAGTGAGTGAGCGTGAGAAAGAAAAGAGAGAAAGTGCGATAATAGAATTGATATTTATAATTAAATATTATTGTACACACAGATAAAACACATTTCTCATAAAGAAGGTAATAAATTTGATTCTATACAAAATAATGCAACTAGAGATTTCCTATTTGGGCTTTTCTGCAGATAATCCAAGGCCAATTTGCAAAAATCTTGTAGAACTGCGAAAATCACGATTACGATTATTTCTTACGACTTTCTCTTAGTGAAATATAAGTTTAAACATTGACAAATGATTGCTAAACGAATGCTAATGCATTTATTGATACAAAGAGAGATTGATACAAATTTATTGAGAAGAAAACTTATTCTATGATTCACATAATTTTCAATGTAGATTGTGTTTGAGTTATTGTGACACATACAGTTGGGTGACTCATCAATAAATGAGTTGCATAGTATAAATAAATAAAACAGAAAATTTACGTTGCTCATACAGCGATGTTGTTAACGTTAAACGTTAATTACACTTCAACAAGTGTATTGACATTTAAATGTTAATTACACAATTGAATATAATTTCACAAAACTATCGCGACTGTAATGTTATGCTTTCTGTTGGGAGAGCGATGTTTTCACCTGAGCTTGCTGAAATGTCTGCTGTATCTTGTCGAATGTCTCTCTGTAAGTATTTATTTTCTTATCCAAGGTAAAACGATTAGATCCTCCATACGTTTTCTGAAATGGATACGTAAGTTGAATGTTTACTGTAAACTGTAAAACTAGTATACTTCACTAGTACACTGTAAAATAGTTGAATAATCCGATGATGACTTAATTGAAGTAATCTATAATTTGGGTTAGACGACAGTTTCCCGAAAAGTGGAGGGGATAATGTTGGTATCAAGAGAAATCTCTACACGATATAATTTAAAGATCTGTTTTTTGTAACTACACTGCTGAACCAATGCAAAAGATTAGAGTGAGAAAACGTATACTTGCCTCATTTCAATTTATTGCACCAATTTAGCAGTGCAGTTACAAAGAACAGAATCTTTAAATTATATCGCGTAGAGATTTTCTTTGGTACCAACATTATCCCCTCCACTTTTCGGGAAACTGTCGCCTAACCATAATTTGGCTAAATGTTAAATTTTTTATGCGGTAGTGTAACCTGTCGGTAACATAGCGTCTTATCATCAGAGCATACGTCATATTAATTACGTAGTTCATCTTCGTGAACATAGAGGCGCTTGTGAGGGCCACAAATCAACTTTAGCTTCTTATGTTTTTCTATGGTGAAATTCTAATGCTGACATCTGTATTTCAAATTTTTCGAGTATACATGCTTTGTAGCATTTTGGAAGTTTTGATTTCCATGGAGAAACTAAGCAAAACAACGGATTGACAGCAATTTTTTACGCTCGCAGTATTAGATTATTGAATGCTGAATACAAGTTGGCAGACTTTTGGCTTAGATTATGTTCGAAAGTGACGATTGGATCTTTGAAGTGAGTTTGATAGTCGCAAAATCATATTAGAATTTACTCGATTGATCTAATATGTTCTGTTTATCGTAATTTTATCAACTTGGAAGACGTGTTTTGGTAAATAGAATATTTTGATATTATTTATACAACTGATGCAGTTGACATATATATTTCATGCATTATTCTAGGTTGCTGTTAATGATATCCATGGGACAGCGATACAAACCCACTCTCAATGTCAGAATAAAGAAGAAACGTCGTCCACCAAACGACGTAAAATTGATGATTGCAAGGCTTCATTCATCGCAGGAAATGATACTTGTGAAACCAAAGTGAATGCCACAAAGGCCACAAAGGATTTGTTGCATAATAATTTACTCGACAGCAATAAGAATGATGTTACACGTGAACACCTACTACTAGGAATTTTTCAGAAGAATATCTCTCAAAAGATAACAGGAGAGAAACAATATCCTCAGTCGTCTAAAACAAATACATCAAGCTCATCTTCATGTGAGCAGCCCAAAGAAAAAAAAAGCATTAACTTTACGAATAAAGCAGCAGTTGGTAAAGAAGCAAAGTTGATTAGAATATTTCCTGGACCAGCTGGATTAATAGCACGCATGAAAAATGGCAATACCTCTGTTGCTGCATACTTAAACAAAGTGAAAGAATTAGAAAGTAAATCAACAACGGAGCACATTGAAAATAATTTCTCTAAGTCATCCCAAGATGAGAAGAACTTGTTTGGTGAGAAAGCTTGGAAGTTTTTACTGGATGATCTGCCAAGAAATTTTTTTAATGAGTATGGAATTTCCACTATTAAAAGTAGGGCAAACGCTAGTCATTGTAATAGTATGAAGGTAAAATTCGTAGCAGGTAGATTGGATTACATTGATCATAGTCACAACGATCCATTTATTACATTAAAAGATTCAACAGATAGTATAGAAGGCATCGTTCACCGCGACATTCCATTGAATTATCCAGGTGTATTGGAACCAAATGTGATTCTCCTTTTACACGATGTAGGTTTGTTAAAGACTACAACGCGTGTGGTGACTAACAAATATCATATTTTAGTATCTCGAGTAAATTTACTGGCTGTATATTCCAATAAAGGTCGAATTATACAAACCTCTCGTATGGAAAATATATTATCCAGTATTTCGAATATCGAATTGACCAAAGGTGATTGTATTACGCCGATTTCGAGTGATTTCGATTATAAAGTCGAATCACGCCCAACTTCTTCCGTTAATGCATCGAATTATCAACGAGTTAGTTCGAAACCTATGTTGGCTAACAATTCCACACCGTTACATCAGGTGGACGAAAAAAAGCACGAAAATTGCAAACAAGATTTTGAAAAGGATAATAAAAATTGCGAAGCGACGGATAAAATATTCGAATCTTTCGAGGACTTGATCGATATGGATGATGATATGAATGATGTTTTCTTTACTATCGAACCTCGCGTCTTAGATGAGAACAAATATTTGAAACATTCGTCATCCGAGAATACTAGTACACAAATCAGCGAAATTCAACAACACGAACTGCAAACGCAGAGCAGTGACTGCTTGGAAAATGCGAGTGGGGGATCATCTGCGATAAATTTAGCGAATAAGATTAAATCTGCGTCGCCGGTAACGAAGTGTAACGTCGAGAATTCTAAAAATCTAGCAAGTTACTTCACTGGTAAAACACTTCAAGATAGTGAATTTGATTCGGACGACGAGATTCTGTCGCAGTTAGACGTAGATAACGTTGTTAGTAATCATGAAAAGGATAAATGAAGATCTTTTTGTAAATACTAGATATATCCAGTACTACAGTCGCTCACCAAGTGCTCAGTGAGCGATTGTAGCACTCTGCTCTTTTCTTGAAATAATTACGTATACGTAAGTTTCATTGCGCAGCTGTTTATGATGCGATTATGCGCAATAAAACTTACGCGACTATTTCATGAATACGTGTCCTGGATATATCCACTGTCTGGCTAAAATCACTCACGAGATTATATTTCGAATCGACTAGTATCGAAATAAGAGAAAATGTACTATAATGTATATATATAAGCAAATACACGACAAATTATACTTGATATAATTATATATTTGTGAATTCTGTGGAAAATTGAGTTGTGTAGAAAATTGAATTGAGTTGTGTTGAAAATCATTCGTGCATTTAACTATCACACATTATAATCCTTCCATTCCAATCTATTTGTACATCCAATATTTAGCTTTTATTGTTCTTATTTCTCTTAATTATGTTTTATCTTTAAAACTCTAGATATATGTTTAGTGGATAGATTGTGTTGAAGTTATACTCGTGAGATTATATTTAATCGATTATATTTAATCGATGTGTCATCTGTCGTGGATTTATGACGTATGTTATTAATTATATGACATGACAACGTCATCCAATTCGACACGCGTTTGCGACGTTCACGTGTCATCCAATTCGATCAATTGGTTTCGTAATAAAAAAGATAATAATACGTTATGCGATTTTACATATACATCATTATTGCGCCTCGACAACACGACGTCAATAGGTTTTTGTGATGAGTTTGGTGAATATTATATAAATGCGAGCGTAATATGTAGCTTTGCGTTGCTGTGACTGTGGAAAAATGAACCGTGCCAACTGCCGATCTGGATCGATTAATGACTGAATAAAAGCCGAATGATGATAGAAGATAAAACGTCGAACTCTTGGATTCGTGGAGAATCGGCCGCCTTCCCTACCGAACTCATTCGAGCCGACCGCTTTAATCCCTATCACTGTTCTATGACTCGGTCAAATTATGCTCCATAATGCTCCTGCGGTCAGATATTCCAGTGAATTATCAGACGGTGTATCTCAGGGTCGATCCGGTGGATACACGTTGATGCACACGCTAACTATCGATCCTACGTTCTCTGTGAGGCTCTTCTTTTCAAGGTAAAATGCGGAAATGAGTAGTAAAAATTTTAAAAGCGCGCGCATTCTCCAAGGCTCCTCCCCGCGAAATTCTCGATTGATGAATCGCCAGAGACTAGAAAACGCGATAAAAATTTTTGCAAAATACGTTGAAATAAAAGATATATCCGTGAAAAATGGCATTTGCAATCAATCTGGCACATCTGTAAAATAATCCGAACGCTTTCCTCCTACTCAAACAATCAATGAATTATAAAATTGACATGACACGCAACCTACTTTTTTCACCTACTTTTCCTCGTAATTTTGTCACATTAATTTTACAGTTACTTACTGATTGTTAAAACGAAAATGGATTTTACGCATCTACTCGATTGATTGTGCCATTTTATGAATATATTTTTTTGTTTCTAATTATTTTGTAAGAATTTTTATATTTTCTCGCTTCTGAGATCATAGATTATGATGATTGCGGCGAGGAACCAGACGCCTTAAGGATAGAAAGAGAAGTTCTTGTAAGATTCTATTACGATAAGGAATATGTGTAATTCTTTATCGAGAGAACTGGTATTTTCGAATGTTTATATAGCTTATCTTTACTATTATTAGAGTGAAGTGTGTTCTTGTAAAGTTTTATTTTCTTTTTAAAAATCAGTCTTAGATATGTGGCAGTTTCGTATAGTTTGGTTTTTATATTTTTCAGGTAAAGCAAGTTTTTCCCGTAGCAGTGTGTTGTATTCACGGTGGACACTATTTACGGTGGACAGTATTTACGTTGCAACGAAACGACGAAGATATTAAGCGAGATATTGTTACACCGTGTGCACGGACGAAAAAATTGCGTCTGTTGGTGACAAAATGTGAGATAAGAGATGATGAAGACCAGGAAATTACGGCCGTACAAAGCTACTTGTTCTTACGAGAGTGATTATCTTGAGAAATCTCGCGTATTATCTATTTCCGTGTCACCCTCTTGTTTGACATGCACATGCCAATGTTGGAGTGTTGTTTTGTGTAAATTATGTGTTATTATCTTTAGCGAATATTCAACGGCATCCGGTGGAATGTTTTGCTATGTTGTCATTTTAATTGGTTTTCAGGCGCCGATTCAGTAAACATTCTTTTTTTTTATTTCTTCCCGGCGGAAGTTTGCCGAGAAACGCGATGTAATGTTCCGCTATGAGTATTTCTGCGAGTAGCCTTCGCAAGTTATACGTACGAAGAAAATATCTTCCAATCTAAAGAAGTAAGACGCGATAAAAATATCTTCTATCAATATCAGTGATTACATTGTCACGTACCGTTTGCACAAGAAAATTGCCGGTACTCTCATCACGTTATACGTATACGTGCGAAATAATACGCTTGTGAGTTTTCTTCATTCGCTAAGAAGTATTTTCGCGCATAACTCGCATGTGTACGCTTTGGTTTAATTTTGCTGAATCGGAACTACTATTGCGTGACCAGTGAATGTAGACGTAGTAAATATCACTCAACCAGTTTTCTGTTGATATAGTCTGTATGTTGACGTAGAAAAACGTTCCTATCGTTTTGGGCATGGATTATTTTATAATGTTAATTTATATGAATCTTAATGTTGCAACTAATTAAATTTTAATGTGTTGATGTTTCAATTGAGTGTGTGAGTCGCAAAATCAGCGTCGCTCGCGAAGCACGCGCTCGACAATGCTATCATCGTCCCTCGGGTTTTGGATTTCAATTATTCCGTTGCAATTCCGTTATCGGGATCACGTTTGAGTATTCCATTATTAGACATCGGTTGCGAAAGTTGAGAAAGCGATGAGGACAAGGAACAACGAACGAGCATAGTCGTGGCGAGTGGTTAACCGTAGAGACGCGGAGGAGCGGAGAGTTTCGCGTCGATGACGACTACACATCTCACAGCGCACAGTGGTGCCGAAGCGAGCGAAAGCTTCATTTTCAGAACATCAAAATTAAAGAAACGTTTCTTCTACTAGGATTATTTCATTTATATAACATAGAAGAACAAGATGTCTTTGGAGTTAATCATCTTTTATTGCTCAATCTCATGTTTTACTTGTCTGTAATTGTGCATCACAACGAGACTATGGGGTTCAAAGGCGGCAGTAAATTTAAGAGTCGCGCCTACCGGGAAAGTGCACGGAGAGAATTTTATAGTAAAAGTTGCTATAGCATTTTATGAACGAGGAATAGGTCGACATTCTCTGCAGCAATTCACTCTGTCCTTTCATTTCATATGTGCTACTTATACCTTAGGAAATGTGCTATTAAAGCACTTACTATGTTTCTAGCGAAATTTATTATGTTTCTTGGCAAGAGAAACTTTACTGATTATTCTTGGACTCTTAGAAACATAGTGAAATTTAAAGGAATTTATATGAAAAAGAAAAGAAAACTATAATATTCTGTCTATATGCGAGGTTCTCGATTAACAAGTGTTTCCCTTACATCAATCCACCGCATTTGAATGATTCTTTGATCTGCTTAGTAAAAGAGTTGTAAAAAATTTTGTTCACAAAAATACGCTTAGGCACCACTGTGCGCGTTAGTAAGCGACTTTTAACGAAACAACCACGTATATCCAAATGAAATGCGGACAACGCACATTATCGCAACCGTGTTGTCGTGATTCGGCACGTGCTCGACACGCAAAGAGCGCTTCGCGGCTTCAAGCTCGCGTGGAAAAAGGTGTAGGGAAACATTAGCGGATTCGCCTCGCGCTTGTAATCGCTCGCGGGAGGAATCTCCGCGGCTAACGTGTACGTACAGCAACGACTTGCATCCAAAGTTCACTCGTTGACCTTGCGCCGAGAACGCGATAACACTCGCGCTGCTCTCTCTCGCTCTTGCAGCTTCCGGCTTACGATTCCGTCCGCTGATTGCTCGAATTTCAAGCAATTTCAACGACCGAGAACCGTTCCGCAAATCCGCGGCGTCGCTCTCTCGCTCGTTCGCTCGAATTCATCGTCGCCGCGAATGACGAGTGTCGCCGTTGATGCACGTTCGCGCGTGGTGCGCCGCTCGCGTTCCGAATAATTCGCACCCGGTGAAAGCAAGCGTCGAGCGCGTGGTTTATTTTCTCATTTATTTTATTTTCAAATAATTTCGCGCACTGCGAAAACTCAGCGAATCGATCCAAATCTCGACGGGCGTGCGCGATCTCTCGCAAGAGAGAGAGAGAGAGGGAGAGGAAACATTCGCGCGCAAACAGCTGCTCTTGCCGCGCGCACTTTTGTTCGAAACGCTCCTGCGTCGTCATTGGGTGGAAAAAAAAAGGGAAGGAAGGAAGGAAGGAAAGAAGAGTGGTACTGTTGTCTCCTCGTAACCCGTAGTGCATATCCATTCGACTAAAAGGTGACAAGTGAACGTGGTGGACGCACTTTCGTTGCAAGGAGAGCGACCTCCCGAGAGAATAAGGAAAACATCTCGCACCTGTCCATCATACAGGTAAATATCTTCTTCATATCTTCACATTACAATTGTGATTTAGCATGTCATTTATTATTATCGATTATACGAAGGATCAACTGTATTTCCTTTATCTTCTGAATCTGCAGTTATACAATACGCTATCGAGATATACAATATCGATATCGAGCGTGCGCGTGCGCCAATTTTGATTTGGTTTATTTGAAATTGAAGAATTCATTCTACCAGCGTTGCGCTTTTCTCCTGTTCTCTAGATGATACTGCATATTGAGAGAAAGATGCTTAGTATTGATAATTATAATCATACAAACAAATAATTATTATAAATTATAGTGAAGGAAAAAACCACTTTTTTAAATTAAATTCTACTAATGTCAGTGATAATAACTTTATATGTCACTACTATAACTATAATTTTAGTTAGATCAGTTATTTTCTTTCTCTCAGTGTAAAGTATGGGAAAATATATCATTTCAAAAGTAATCTATGCGATCTTATAATTCATTATATGATAAGATAAGAATATTTATTACAATATTACGTAATAATTCATGAACACCAGCATGCGGTGTCCTTCGACGACGACTCCACCTGCGTTTCTATACAGATAAAATGTAAATGTTTTATTTATCTGTAATCGTTATCGGTCTTAGTCTATTTTAGTATGTATATAGATATGCTCATATATTATATTTGTATTTGTCTACGTTCTCTGGAATTTAAACCGATTGAAGATCTTTCTTCAAGAAAACTTTCGTTATTGGCTGAATAGCAATATTTTTCCGCGTATTTAACGTTCTGAGTTTACTTTGGACGCTTTAACCGGCAACAAAACTACGTTTTGTATTTTTTGTGCGGCGTATGTGCGGAGAGCATTTGAAAGTTTATTGATGCACGCGTGCGTTTATGTAGAACAATATTCTCCTATCCGAAGAATGTGTCTTGTAAATATACATGTGCGTTTCATGTAAAACAATATTTTCACAGCTATACTGACAATCGTTAAATCAATTCGGGACTTTGTAAAACCGACATATACGGGGAAGGTCTTCGTGAGATAAACTGATACGGCAAACTTATATCGGAAAATTCGTAAATGCGGAAAGAGAAAGCAAGAAAAAAGGGGACACCTCGTGCGCGATACGTACGTATCAATTCACTTTGTCGTAATTCGGGCCGAGGAGATCTACATCTCGATATGTCGAGATCGACATCGCACTTGCCGTGCGTGAGCTATCACAGAAATCGAAGAACGCGATCGTGCAATTCGCTTCGACGAGAAGCGAAGGTGATAGTTCAATAAATTAATGCAGCACGTTTGCATCACCGATGAGATACTCTTTCTCTCTCACAACCGTCTGTCTAAGTTACATCCATATCTCACCGCTCCTCTAAATTATATTGTAGATCTCAATCTCGCACTCAAGTATTTTGTCCGGCTTTAATCTCGGATAACATAATAGGTATTATTCGTTACGTAACATCGGTGAAGAATTTGCGCGCGAAATAACATTTGTATCATTTTGTCGACAGGTGAAGGAGAGGGAAGAGACCCAGTGATCGGATTGCAGCCGAGCTAGCTATTGAGACATCAAGTGTCAACTTTAATCCAACAAACTCCGAGTTATGACCGATACTAATGGTAAGCGTGAAAAACGAGGGGACAGCGATGGTACTTACCTTGATAAATCGATTATCGCACGAGCAATATCTTGTACGTCCATCTTTTCATACTTTTGCAATTGTCGCTCGTACATGGAACGACTATGATTAAAGTCGAATCGATCGTCGCTACGATAGCGATGTTATTTCCGCACGTCGGAATACATATACATGTTAGAGAGATGAAGATAAATAAAGGGAAATGAGTTATCGTACATTAATTTTGCGATTGTTCTTATATCGAACATTTGACGTATTTGATGGATAAGTTTGTGAAAAGATCGAACTCTTCACGCTTGTATCTGACACACTTGCAAATGTAATGGGTTGTAGTACAGACGTTTTTTACATTTGCATCCGGCGCGAAGGCGAATTCTTTTCATAGTTTTGATCTAACTTACTGTCTTACTGTTTGTCCACACCTTTTTGTAACCTTCTAACGTATTTTTGGAGGTCTTATATTGGCTGTAATAGACCTAACATTACGCTAGAATATTGAAAAACGAAGTACGTAACACGTGCTAACGTCGAACAAATTGATGAGCAAACTGCACAGGTGTTTTCAGAGTGCGGCTACGCTACCTGAACGCATGTCCTATATTCCATGCTCGTGTATACAGTGCGGCGAAACGATTTAGATACAATAAAATTGAATTGAAAGTCGTTACTGCATGTGCGTGCGACGGACTTGTTCAGTAATTATATTATTGATTATTGTTAGTACATATTATTATTACTTTTAATTATATTATTGTATTATTATTGCGTAAGTCCGTCTGCAATGACTCTCAATTTTGACAGTTCCGGAAAATTGTAACTTTATTGTGTCTAAAACATTTGGAACCCACTGTACGTGTCCCCGTTTTCATCTGCCAAACTTTCACAGAGCCAGACTTTTTTCTAATTTCCTGTAAGGATTCTCGCGAAACGCACTATTAACAATATGTCTTATTAGTTATTATAATGTAATATTACACAATTTAATTTCATAATTTATTATTGTTATTGATTCAATTGTCTCTCTCAGGGATGAATGACAACAAAAAGTCAGACGTTTCTTGGCAGAAAATTTATACTGACCAAAACGAACACCTGGTATGCCATTATCGCTTTTATATGTACTGAGCTATTAAATACTCTTCACGCTCGCATTTCGTTTCATTATTGTACGTACGACTCGTGTATATTGCAGTATATTTACGGATTCGAGAAGAGCACGCTAAGGACCATTTTAATATACATATCGTATATATTGTCTATCGGATGGGTCAGACTATTGTTTCACTGGTATCCACGACTATATTTGTACGCGACTCACCGTGAATGTACTTTAAGCCGCGCGACGAAAATACTCGCAATAGTAAGTTTTATTACCTCTTTTATCTACATATCATTTTCTTTAATAACACAATAATTACTCATTAATAGTCTGTAATGTCATTATGACAGTCGAATGCAATTTTTTTGAGGACAGAAATATTCTTAAACTATTTACTACATGCTTCTATATACCTGACGCATATTGCATTCTGTCTGTTAAGTTTATTCGTATCGCTAAATTCTTGTGTATTAGCATAAATCGTGATAATAACGAGATGCATACGCTAGTAAAATAATCATGACAAATATAGGATGATTATCAAGGAAAGTACAAGTCATACTTTGTACGAGACATCCAGACAATTTCTACTAAGGACATCAGGTGAGAGCTTCCTGTAAAATTTATAATACCCGGACCATGCAAAAGTAGCGAGACAGCTTTTTTTTCAACATCATTTGACATGAAACGTCGAGATTTTTGCACATTTGGCACAATGGCACTTAAAAAGAAAAAAAAAAAACAAATATTTCGTTATTTTTGCGACAGACTTCATATATTCACATGATATTCCACCGCTGAACGTTTCCATGACAAAAAAGAAGAGTATCCAAATAGCACAGAGAATTTAAAAAGAATTCAAAAAGAATTCAGTCGTATGTCACCAATTCTGAGTTTATTTTCAGATGCAAAAAGAATTCTTCAAAGTTCAGTTCAGTGAAAAGAATTCTTTTGGCACCTAACAATGAACTCAGAATTGACAGATTGGTGACATACAACTGAATTATTTTTGAATCCTCTGTGCTATCTGGGTACATTAGGAAGAATTGGGGAAAAGACATTTTGTGAAATTGGGAGTGTTCTCTTCGCGACGCACTAAATTGTAGGACAATTCGACAGTTTTTTCACTTGTTTACCATTCCTGAAACAGTCGTCAGAAACAGAATGTATGACTCACTTGTTCTCACTTGAGTTCTTTTTTATAAGTCTACTCATGAAACGAATACGAAATGCGCTAATTTTATTATCGTGTACTTACAGTACGAAAAATTGGCTAGCTACTTTGGATACCGTTGACCAAGATCTCGTAGCGAAAATCAGAAACAAAGCGTTGAAAATCAATTTAGAAAATGGCTCGCGATGCGAAATTTACGAGTACAAGGCTTTTTGGTGCAAAAAGAGATGTTACATATGGGACACCCCGAAAAACTCGTTCTCGAGACTCGTAGGATATGAGAATGGTACAATATATTCCGACTTTCATGTTGAAAACGGTCATGGCTTGTCTAAAGAAGAACAATTACTTAGGTAAGACGCATCTTCTGCAATAATATAATTCGTGTTAATGGATGTCATTGACCCGTCTGCGTTACAGGCGTATTGTATATGGAAGTAATGAAATCGTCGTACCACTTCAAAGTATTGGCGTGCTATTGCTGTTGGAGGTTTTGAATCCATTTTATATTTTTCAAGCGTTTACTTTATCTGTATGGTTCGCGGAAGGCTATTACTACTACAACATTGCAATAGTTCTAATGTCACTATTTGGGATAACGAGCACTATAGTGCAAACGCGAAAGGTATATGTCGCTCACGATATAAAGAAGGAGAGAAGGAGAATATATAGTCTGTAACAGAATATATAGTCTGTACTCAAATTGTTATTTATTTTTAGAACCAGCTGAATTTACGTGGCACCGTTGCGTCGTCGGATAATGTACGCGTACTTCGGGACGATGGTACTTTTGAGGATATTTCTAGCAAAGACTTAGTACCAGGCGACATTATCGAATTACCGAAACATCAAACGACCCTCGTGTGCGACGCGGTTTTATTAACAGGGCAATGCGTATTAAATGAATCTATGTTAACGGGTAATGTTTCATATATGCTTTGCTTTGATAAACTACTTTTGAGCGTGTACTAAAGAACCAGTTTGTTTTGACCAATTTTTAGGCGAATCTGTGCCAGTTACGAAAACATCATTACCGTCGCATCAAGTATTGTACGATATGAAAGAATGCACGCATTACACACTATATAGCGGCACAAATATAATACAAACCAGGTACGCGCTACACGGAGAGAATATTGCAGTAATTAAAACAAAATTTTGGAAATCTTAAGTTACACAGAATTATGATTGAAATTATTATATATATTTGTCTAAAAATATTTACATTTATACATTTGACTTTTTACTTCAAAGCCATTGTAATTAATTACTTGAATGCTTTTTTTATTTTGCATATAAAAAACATTGCAAAAATTTGAATGTAATTCATACTATAATATTTTTTCCTTACGTATTTTATGGTTCCAATAACTTAAATATATCTCACTAAATATTTAAATAATGTGTCACTTATAGGTGTCACGGAGACCAGCGTGTTCTCGCGAGAGTCATCAGAACTGGTTTTCTGACTAAGAAAGGTGCTCTAATCGCTGCTATATTATATCCACCTCCAGCAGACTTTAAATTCGACCAAGATTCATACAAATTTATCGGTATTTTAGCATTCATTGCAACTTGCGGTTTCATATATACCATAGTGAGCAAGGTAATTTTTTACTCGAATTTGTGACTGCTACTTCGTTATATATTTCATACAGTAAGTAGTACATTGTTACTTAATACATAAAGATAAACAATGTAGGTTTCCAGAGGAATCACAGCTGGCGATATAGCAATAAAAGCGCTGGATATTATTACGATAGTTATACCACCAGCGTTACCAGCCGCAATGACTGTAGGGAAATTATACGCACAAGCGAGATTGAAGCGCGCGCAAATATATTGTATTAATAACAGGGTCATTAATGTTTCCGGCAGCATAAATTTCATCTGTTTCGATAAGGTAAGATCGAGAGAACAGAGCAAGATGTTTATGGCTCGTATTAATAGTTATTACTTAAAACTCAAGTAGATACTCAGATACTCAGATTTTGAATTCAGAGTTAGATAAGAATTTTTCAATTGAATCACGATTACGGATACAAATGTCCCACGTATCATATAATTCAAGTATAAAAACTGGATCCAACTTTGAATAAAAATCTGAGATAAGTTTCAGGTAACAATTATTTATATAGACCCAAGTTAAGTACTCGATTTTCTCTCTCATGTTTGCTTATCTTTTTCTCACTCCATCGTCATGTTCACAGACAGGTACATTAACCGAAGATGGATTGGATATGTGGGGCATTGTACCGTGTACAAACGGCATCCTCGGCGAGCCCGAAACAGACGTACTCAAGCTCGAGAATCATCCTCTCTTCGAAGGGATGTTAGTTTGCCACAGCTTAACGCTTATCGACGATAAGCTCTGCGGAGATCCTTTGGACATAAAGGTACGATATCGTTCGTTTTTTCGTGATCACCCGATACCTCGATGCAACTTCTTAAATATTGCAGATGTTTGAAAGTACTAAGTGGGTGTTAGAAGAGTCAGATTGCGTGCACGTGGATGAAAACGACGCTGTGACACCGATGGTCGTAAAGCCATTGGCGCGCACAAAGACATCAGAGATTGGTATAATACAGCAGTATCAGTTTTCAAGTTCTCTACAACGAATGTCTGTTATCGTACGCGCATTCGGATCGGATGATTATAGATCTTACACAAAAGGCTCTCCCGAAATGATAATTAGCCTGAGTAAGCCGGAAAGTGTACCAACGGATATCTTGCTTGCTTTAGAGCGATATACGACGCAGGGCTATCGCGTGATAGCAATGGCTCGTCGAGCGACTATCTCCGAAAGTAACGCAAAGGTAATCGTGTATTTTCATTTTTACTATATATTTTTTGTTTCAATTAAGCGCTTATGTAAAAGCACGTATCGCTACAGATATCGAAATTACCGCGAGAAGCGGTCGAGTGGAACTTGGAGTTTCTGGGATTAGTGGTTCTGGAGAACCGATTAAAGAAACCAACGACGCCGGTGATCACAGAATTAAGAGAAGCCAACATGCGTGTTGTAATGATTACAGGTTTGATATAGACCGAATATAGTAATATTGTACAAGACGTCTGTCCGTCTCTGACGTATTGACCTGAATTTACGTTATTCTAATTTGACCTTCAATTTTGAAAGGAGACAATATTCAAACCGCGGTGAGCGTTGCAAGACAATGCGGAATACTTTCAAAGGGAGAGTGCGTTGTCAATATAACCATGACCCCTGAGGAGAGAAAGGAAGATCGTCCTGAGATATCTCTGGACATTCAAGCTCCCCAGTCTACTATACTGGTAAATTCTTTGATTTAAGTTATAGAGTGTTACGTCAGACCTCGGCCAATCCTCCAATTTTTTTTCTATAGAGTTCGCAAAACGGAGCTTTTGTGACAGCCGAAGATATTGAACGTGGCATAACTAATTATAATTACAAATTCGCCTTGACGGGCCACACGTGGCGAGCGCTGCGAAAATATTACCCCGATCTTATAGACCGTATTTGTGTAAACAGCGCGATATTCGCTAGAATGAGTAGCGATGAGAAGCAACAAGTCATCTTGGAGCTCATGCGACTCGGTTATTACGTAGGTACGTGTCTTTCGTGATTAATAGCGTAACGTAAGTAAGAAAAGCAATAAAAAGCGCGCGTATCTTTCTATATCGAACATTGGAAATACAAGCGATAATGTAGAAATCATGGTATGCAATGCTCAGCCATGTGCGGCGACGGCGCTAACGATTGTGGAGCATTGAGGTCCGCGCACGTTGGAATATCGCTCTCCGAAGCGGAATCCAGGTGAGAGACAAGCCGCACTCGATTTACCGCACGTTATCTAAATTACCTCTCTTTCATAAAACTACATTCTTTATTTTGTAGCGTGGCCAGTCCTTTCACCTCGGCGGTATCGGACATAACTTGCGTACCAAAGGTGATACGAGAAGGACGCGCCGCCCTGATCACGTCGTTCGGAATTTTTAAATTTATGGTAGCGTATTCTCTGACGGAATTCCTGTCCGTCATAACGCTGTATTCCATCGACTCGAACTTGACGGACTTGCAATTTTTATTCATCGACATTTGTTTAGTCGTTAACTTCGCCTTCTTCTTCGGCAAGACTCGCGCGTACATGAAAACATTGTCCAAGACTCCACCCATGACGAGTTTGCTGAGCTTACCTCCGCTTTTGTCTCTGACGACGCATATGTTTGTGATGACAATTTTCCAAGCGATAGCGTATCACGTCGTTCGAAAGTTCTCGTGGTTCACGCCGTTCGTTCCCATTAGTAACATCGGATACACGTGTTACGAGAACTATTCGGTCTACTGTGTCTCCATGTTTCAGTATATCACATTGGCGATTATATTTTCGCGCGGGAAACCATACAGACGCGCTATTTACACGAACCATGCGTTTATGTTCTCCATATTTTTGTTAACAATCATATGTGCGTACATCACGGTTTACCCGGCGAATTGGGTGGTGCATGCCTTGGATTTAATATTACCACCCGTCTACGATTGGAGGCTTATTATTCTAGCGCTCGCCCTGGTTAATTTTTTTATTTGTTTCTTCATCGAGACTGTCGTCATAGAACGCGTCGTTGAAAATATCCTGAGGAGAAAATTCTATAAACCAGGAAAATCGAGGAAGTTATACGTAAAGATAGAACATGAAGAGAAGGAATGCGGGAATTGGCCACCATTCGGTCAACTACCGATACTGTCTGTTATACGAAAGGAGGATAATATAAAAAGACCTGTTGACGTTTTGCGTAACGGATACCGTTCCACAAACGCCTCGGGTGATTGGACGATTAATGGTCTTAGCAACTCATCTGATCTATCGAAGGAAAAGACTGATGAAGGAACTGGCTTTGGGAATCCCGGCTTCATTAAAGACGAGATATAATGACGAAATATATAGAAAATATCAAAAAAAGAGAACGAAGAACATTCTTTATATAAGAGAGATATATCAGAGAGAGTTATATCAGAAATTTGCTTGTTTTTTTTTTAGTGTGTATGCTGTTGTTATGTCTTAAATAGTGCAGAGCAATTTTAAGACGTTCCGTTACGTGATAGGTGAGCATTAACAAAGCGAAGTACAATGCAATTACTCGAGTAGGAGGCTACAGCGCGATGAGGACTTATCGTGGGTAACGCACAAGTAAAATTTTGGATGAATGAATACTTCATGAGGTACTTCATATTTTACATTAAATTATGTAAGAAGGAAGCATGAAAATGAATATTTAACAAAATTTCATAAAATATGCAATTTTTCTATGATAACGTATCTTTAATATTGATATTGATTTAATATTGAGTAATTTCTTTAATAATTCTTTAATATAACAAAATTTACGTAAAACAAGTCTCTACTTTAGAAAGCCAAAATAACTTTGCAATCTCAAAAATAATGACTTTAAAATGAACATTCTTTTATCGTCATATTTCCTTAAATCGTGTAAATTTCATATCTAATAAGGATTTACATATTTAAGAGTATCGAAAATATTTAAGCTTTTCAGTGACTCATCATGTGCTCGATCGATGCCTCCTTTTTTATTTTGGTTAATATTTTAAATAAACAATTATAATATAAGTTATATAATTTATGACACAATTACAATATAAGTTATATAATTTATGACACAATTATAATATAAGTTATATAATTTATGACAGTATTAATAAAGGTATTGAAGAGTGTATGTCATATCGTACTTTTAATATGAGAGATAAACGCAATGATGAAGAAATGTCTAATAATTAAAAGACAATTTACTTTAGTTACTCTTACAATTTCGGAAGATCCTTTGCAAAAACTATATTTGCATAAATAAAATTAACATTTAACTGACTAGCATCCGAAAAATTTGTCCCATTTTTGCGCTTTTCATTTTAATGGTACGATATGCTTCAAATGAAAAATTAATTTATGTGTGTAAATATAAATATTTCATCTTAAAAATAAATAAACTGCATGAAACTTATGTATACACTATATGGTGTAATATATTTCAAAATTTGTGGGATATTAGAGAAAAAAAAAGAAAACGCGTTTCCAATTTTAACCAATTAAATGTATATATTTAGTAATAAAGTTCTGCATCCAGAAAATAAAATAGATTGCAAATCATAAGTCTTGACTTTTTATCATCGTGTGAACCTATAATTTCGATCTTCTGAGCATTCTCTAAAAGAATAAGATATAAAATGTGAATGATACATTAAAGTATTAATATATATTTTTAAACATTTTTGCATAATTTTACCTATAATAGCTTTATGTTTTATCGTCAGTTCCTCTCGAATCCATTGTTTAAAACGTAAAGCCACTTGACTGATCATACGAATTGTAGCTTCATTTATGCTAGGCCTCAGCAGCAAGCTTGGTAAAGCTATAACATACTTTTTAAATGCTTCTCTATTAAATGGAAAAAAGAAAGAGTATTATTCGCGATGTCAGAGTCAGCATACATGCGATACAGCCAAAGCTTTCCTTCGCAAGATATATTAATTATTTTAAACTATAAACTCCTTTAGTTTCAACGTTTTATCATTTGTAAATACTCACCAATTAATCATTTTTTATACTTTTAAACGGTAATGACATTTAATAGACATTTATGAAAGTGTACTTTGTAAAAACTCAATTACCTGTATAACTCATTTAAATTACATTCCAATATAATATTACCAACAATCAGAGACAAGTTCGATTGCAATTCATTTTTAGATAGGTAGGACACTTTTATAATCAGTTGCAAAGTTTGATTTAAATCAATACCATTCGCGTGCCAAGACGAACTCGCTGATAAAAATAAAGTTTTTAGCAGCTTAGTTAGTTGTGATAACACAAACTTGTCGTTGATGCACCAATTTTTAATGGTATCTAAAAAAATGTTTAATAAAACAATATGGAGACAATTAGAAGAGAACCAAATTAATTGTATAATATTATAATATAATATTATATTACTTAATATAATATTATATAATATATAATTATATTATTATATTATATAATATATAATTAATTATAATATTATATTACATAATATAATATTATTGTATAATATTATAACATTAGTTGATAAACCATACATACTATTTAAATATTTAATAATAGACAGACAATAGTTTTTGGTAGTGTTATTAAATTTGCTACTATCGTGGTCAATTGAAGATGTGAACCATGTATGAATTTGACAAAGTCCCAAATTCTGTTCTAAGCATCTTTCACTGTTAGATTCTATTTCAGAATAATCTTCTTGACATTTTTTGGATTTGTTGGTAAATTCACTTGCTGCTCTGTATGGGAAGTTCAACAAAAAGCTTCTCATAAATGATTTATGAAATTTATCTATAAACGAACGCTTTGTATGCTTGTAATCGTCGTGATCCAACATTTCGATGTACTCGATAATCGACTGCATAATTTTAGTGATTCCTCTCAATAATACGGACGTATCGCTGGAAATCGTGGTCTCTGTATAATTCTCAAACTTCTCATTTGGACATACTTCTAGCCATATATCAAACATTAGTGACATCAATGTATCTACATATTTAATGAATTCTTCCATGGGTAAAGTTTCTCCTGTTCTCGTTACCGAGTCCATATCGTCGTTAAAATTGATTTCACAAGGTTTAGCTGAACTACCGCCATAAACTGGAAGAAATTCACAATATTCTACTTCTCTCAATGTTATACCCGAATATGTAGACCTTTCAAGTTTCTGATCACTTAGAACACAGTTGAACATATTAACTAAACGTTCCAAAACTTGTATTCTCCACTTTACACTAGTGGTTTTTAAATTTGTAATTATTGTTAATTGTCTGTTGTGCTTATTATCACTGTGTAACCTACACATCATGTCTAAAAAGTTAGAAAATATTTTACGACTATCCTTCGCAAGCATGTTACCACAGTGAAGCAGAAGTACATCCAAGAAATGTAAAGAGTCCTCCTTTATACATGGATTAATATGTGTCATAGCACAATTCAAATAAGAAGTTAAAACTTTCGAATATAGCACCAACTGTTCCTCGGACATGCATTCAAGAATTGAACGCAGTGCAGATAATGAATCTTTTCGTATATTTTTCTCTCTATCTAGTGACAAAGCTGCTATTCCATTCAATAAAGGACCTAATTCTGCATGCAAAGTCGTTGATGAATGAAATAGTAAGATTTCTTTCAGTTCCCTCAATGCTCCTTCTCTTACCGCTGCATTATGATGGTGAAAACGCACTAACAGATCCTGAAGCCGATTTAACAAATGTTCTAGCAATGTTATATAAAAGGATCAATAAGCATGCAATATTTGTACAATTCACATAAGTAGACTATCTTACATACTTTGATATTGAGTTTACGAGTGCTGAGAATTTCTGTTTCATCATGCTGTTTTAATTGTATAGGTATTATAATTTTCTTTGTTTTGAACGATGTATCCGTGACATTCTTCGGCTTCGTTATTTTACTTCTCAATTTTATTTTCGCTTTTTCTGACCTCAAGCGTTTCAAGTGCTTATAACCCTTAGCCATGACGTCGAAATAATCGTTAGAATATGTGTTTCTTACTACAAATTTTCACGAAAAGTTGCCTTTTCGATATGTAGAATAAGAATTAAAATGAGTTAAGATATGACAGATAAATTCAACAAAGCACACAATTATAACACGTGTAACACGTTTTTTGAGGTTATGTTTAACCAGTTTAAAGCTTGATTTAAGCCTATTCTACAATTGCGTGAACGTGGTTGTAAGTAGTTGTAAGTGATTACGACAACCAATCAGAGTAAAGTAATCAGTGAATAAAACATTCGGATTGGTTGATTCTTACGTTCACGCTACGCTTACGCAATTGTAGAATGGGCTTTATGCTCTTTGCGTTCTGTTTCTTGTCATCTGTCTTTTCTGGCTTAAAACTTTAAGCCTGATCTACAATGTGTTCTTTGCTTCCTGTTTCTTGTTTTCTGTCTTTTTTTAGTTTAAGGTGTAAGGCTTGAGTCAGAAAGAGATAAAGAAAAAGTAACAGGAAGCAAATAACACATTATAGATCAAGCTTAAGATTTGAGTCAGAAAGAAATAAAGGGAAAGAAGCAGGAAGCAAAGAGCATATTGTAGATCAGGTTTTAGAGTGCTATTTCACGTGTCGTACGACAAGCTTTTCAAATACGTTTATTGGTTGGTGAATAGAGTATTTCTAGATTCTCTGTTCGTCAACCAATGAACGTATCCAAAAAGCTTGTACGACACGTGAAATATCAGCCTAACTTTACCATTGCATTTTTGAATACCAGAGTGCGCCACTAATACCTATTTCTACCAACTTTAGTTAACTCAACTGACTGATTATTGGCTAAGGCTGGTGTCCTATGGAACGGAAATTTTCATCGGAACAGAACGCATGCACCAATTACAACCATTTTATTCTATTCGTGAAAATAATAGAGTAACTGTGATTGGTGCATGCGTTCCGTTCCGATGAGAATTTCCGTTCCATGGGACGCCAGCCTCTTCGCATTTCTCGTATTTCTCGGTAGTCAGAATTAATAGATGCGATTGGTCAAGGCCGTTAGATAACCAGCCGGTTAAGTTAACTGATAACATATTTGATTGGCTCTGGGTTAATCCACTCTGGGTTATTCAGTCTACGTTTATTGGTTGAACAAGTATTTATAAGCTTTATGATTGGCTAGTAGAGATTTATAACGTCATTAATCGCTCTCGAAGCTAATCGAACACTCTATGAAGTTGGTAGAAATAGCGATATATACGTCACTTTCTTTTTGATATATCACTACTTTTGTAAGGTGTGCGCAAGGTACATATGTTATTCCGTTAATTATGTATTTTAAAATTGTCTTTAGTTAATATTAACCCTAAACGTTTCATTAATTAATTAATTGATTAATTTCATATGTATATTGCAAACGACATATATATACATAACACTAGAAGTTATAGATTACCCTTCATGTGCATGATACATTTGCATAATATAGCCTACGTATTCTAATCTGCAAAACTTCTAAGCCCGTGTCACATCACGGATTAGAGATGGAAGATTGCGGGTTGAAGATCAATGGTGAGACTACGTTAAAATAATAGCAAAGAAATAGAAAGAAGTTTCCTGTCTATACAATCACATGTGACAACCCGATGAATCGTTGCACGACAATTCGTTGCACGTGATTGTATAGACAGAAAATTTTTTCCATTTTTTCTTCGTCTATTCTTTATATAGTTCTACCACAGATCTCGACAAATCGACAACTGGTTTGCTTTTTTTCCAATTGGCTAAGTTTCAATTTTCAATCTGCAATCCTTAGTCTCCAATTCGTAGTGTGACACGGGCTTTAGTGCACGTGCTATTACCGTCATTCTATGGCAAACTTGTATAACATCTAAAATGATACTAGACTGATAAATATGGACACGACATTCAAAGATCAAGATAAGTTGCGACCTTTCGTATATATAGTTATCAATTATGACAAAGTGTAGTGCGATAATTTGATGACAGTGTAAATTACCAAATTATTATTTAAAGTATATATGAGAGTATATATAAATATATGAGAGTAGTGAGGATTGAAATTGATCATTATTAGAAAAAAGAATAGGAAGAAAAATGTGGTATTGTGCTCAAAAAGAGGCGAGTGTTCATAAGAATACTACAATATAACAGATCAGAGAAACGTGTATGAGTGATTAAATTTTCGGGACGATAATCTATAATTTTCTTTTTTTAAGCGGCTTACATTTTTCTAACATGTTTACTAAGCGGTCCAGCGTACTAAAAGTATGTTGTAAGAGTAGCTTTAAAAATCGTAAACGTGTTAGAAAAACGATTATGTCGTTCAGCAAAAAATCTTACAAGTTATCAAGCTCTCAGCGATTAACGCAAAGTGCTTACTAACCTGCTTTTTCTGTTGAGCACAGCTAAGATAATCTACCAATGCAAACTCGTATCTCGCGCGCGAGTGTCTATTGTACTTTATACGAACCGGAATGACAGTACAAAATTTTCTGCACGCGTAAGTGCAACGTGAATTAATATATAGAACGTTAAGAGGTTACCGGTAGAAATCAATATTATTGGGTATTAAAATATTGTGTTTTCTTCTGTGTCAATTTGTCGTGATTAATTGTAGATATTTCTTAATGTCTGATTATGTGTGAAACCATAGCCAAGTCCAGTGAATATAAATATATATATGTTATAACAGATTTAACTTACTAATTAAATCTTAATTATCATATCTATTGATAAGAGCACATGCAAAATATCTTTATAAGAACATCTTAAGATCACAAAAATATAATAGTACAGAAAAATACATTTTTAATATGCCTTAACAACATCAGATAATTTATTGATGCATTTAAATCTATTAACAATTATGTTTCAGATATGATCTAATCTAACTTTTATAACATTGAACTTTGACATATGCATACTCATCAGTTATATGAAGGATTATAATACAGAATTTAAATATATAAAAAAGAAGAGTATCGAATAATGAAACAATACTAAATGTTTGAAGTTAAACACATTTATTGATGAATATGAATTCAGCAAATATAGAAATGAGATACTGTCCACCAAATATAACTTTCAATGAGATTTGGGTGGAACATGGCATGTCCAAATGTTTCATGGACACTATCAGTGCTACTGTAATTTCCTTATATTTGATTATATTTGGATCTATTCAACTTTGGATGTACCGCAAATATGGGACAGAAATTGATGCAAGTACTTTACCAAAAAGTAAATTGTACAATTTACAAAAGTTTATTTTGTACTTTGTTCCTTTTCTGAGTGTATTAAGAATAATTTTACAAGCTACTATCTTGGATGATGGAATGGTTTATGGATATATGGTAAGATATGTAATATATATTGTAGCTTTGTAATTGTATAGATTTGCAATATAAGCTATATAAGCTTTTAGATTATATAAAGTATCATAGTGAATAACATGTTCTCCAATAACTTTATGAATATATTATGTTATTGCTGCTCTTTTAACAGTATTATTTATCATATAATTTAAATATATAATGTGTTTATGAGCATGGTTTTGTGATTTTTTTTAATGAATAAGTAGAAAATAAATTTTTTACCTTTGTAGATACTGACAACAGCATTGACAGTAGTAGTTTATCCATATTCAGTTTATATTTTGAGAGTTGAGAGACATAAACTATTACCAAGCGTGCCACCACATGGTCATGGATTAGTGTTGCTAGGTTTCTGGACATTAACATTTGTTGCTGAAAATCTTGTTTTCGTTAACATTGGAAAACTGGAGTGGTGGTTCCATTTAAATTCGTAAGTTTGTATTGAAGAGACTTATGTTATAAATAATTTAATATGCTATATAATAATTTAATGTATTTACAGAAAATGATCTTGAAAATGTAAAAGACAAGTAAATCTCTTTAAAATTAAGTGATTATTCAATCTAAATTTAATATATTTTATATATTATAATAATTCTAATATATTTTTGCAGCTTGACAGACCAGATTGAAATGGCTTTATTTGTCTTACGCTACGTTAGTAATCTACTGATTTTTGCTCTTGGTCTACGAGCTCCAGGTATCGGTGGTCATCTGGATCCTGATTACCGTATACTGAACGATGGCTCAACCACACAGTCGCGATATTACCAAAGAGTAAGTTATACGTATTGGTTGTGCGATTCATTTATATAGTATACAATTGAGAAAATATTAATTCATACAAAGATATTTACAGAGGCCAGATGACAATTCTTCCACTTGGGCAAATCTGTGGTACAAGATTAAAACTTTATCACCGTTCTTGTGGCCAAAATCAGATTTTTTACTTCAATTGAGAGTAATATTTTGCTTTTTACTGCTGATGTCTGGACGTTTAATAAATCTTTACGTGCCTATTTACAATAAAAAGATTGTAGATAGTGTCACGATGGTTCCTATAAGATTTAGGTGCGTGAAAATATAATATGACCAAGTTTTAACTGATATTTATATACATTGATTCATTGGTATCTTCGTATCGTGTCAATTATCGTTTCAGCGAAATATTTATTTTTATTATAGATGGGATATAGTGCTGATATACGTAGCGTTCAAATTTTTGCAAGGTGGCGGTACGGGAGGTATGGGCTTGTTAAATAATTTAAGATCCTTTCTCTGGATACGTATTCAGCAATATACTACTCGTGAAGTAGAGGTAGAGCTTTTCAAGTGAGTTTAACTGGTGGAGCGTTGAAATCACATCGACGAAAATGACTTGTCTTCTTCTTTCACAGTTGTATATTCAAAATATTTTATTTTGCAGGCATCTGCACGGACTGAGTTTACGTTGGCATCTTGGAAGAAAGACTGGTGAAGTGTTAAGAGTCATGGATCGTGGCACGGATTCGATCAATAATTTGCTCAATTATATACTTTTTCAAATATTGCCGACTATTATTGATATCATCGTAGCCATTGTATTTTTCATCAGTGCATTTAACAAGTGGTTTGGTCTCATTGTTTTTGTCACTATGATTCTCTATATCAGTAAGTACAATGATGGTGATGATGTTGGCAATAATAATAATAATAATAATAATATTAATAGAGAGTAGTAGCAAAAATAATAGTAAGAGATACTGAATGCATCTTGCGGCCCGCCGCACGCCATTACAGAGTGAAGGAAGATGTTAACGAGGATGGCAAGGTTGTCTATAATTTATAGTGTCTTAATATAAAAGTAAATGACTGATTAATCACTAGTAGCAATCGGCGGACCGCAAAGTATTAATTCTATTTTCTCACGCATCCCAGCTTTTCTCGCATACGCTAAATTTTCTCTTCAATCTTCAATTCTCAGTTGCCACGATCGCGATCACTGAATGGCGTACGAAGTTCCAAAGGCGTATGAATCTGGCCGACAATGCTCAGAAAGCGCGTAGCGTCGACAGTTTACTCAACTTTGAGACCGTTAAATATTACGGTGCTGAGGCATACGAAGTTGAAAACTACAGAAAGGCGATCTTAGATTTTCAAGTACAAGAATGGAAATCCATGATTACATTAAATATTTTGAACACCCTGCAAAATATCATTGTCTGCGGTGGTTTGTTATCTGGATCATTGTTGTGTTTACACATGGTTAGTACTCGTGTTAAAATGCAGTGTTCTTATTTCAACGAATTGTAATATAATAAGCTAAAAGCGACAGGAAGCATGACAATATATTGACAATGAAACAGTTTGGTTTTCCCATAGGTTGTCTCTCACGAAGGTTTGACAATTGGTGACTACGTCTTGTTTTCCAGTTATATAATACAACTTTATGTGCCGTTAAACTGGTTCGGCACATATTACAGGTAATGTTTAAACAAGGAAGATTATTACATCTTTTATCGCAAAGAATCATCAACTTATACGCGTCGTCGATTAATGTATCGTTAATCAATACAACTCGAGTTTCTGTTTCAACCGACTCATTCACTCGATGTTTCCTCATCTAAAGGGCCATACAAAAAAATTTCGTCGATATGGAGAATATGTTTGAGCTACTCAGGGAAGAGCAAGAAGTGATAGATGCGCCAGGAGCCGGGCTGTTGGATGTTAAGCGTGGACAAGTGGAATTTTCAAATGTATCGTTTGGTTACTCTCATGAGAAACTTGTGCTGAGAAATATCAGTTTCACTGTGCCTGCGGGAAAAACGGTTGCATTAGTCGGTCCGTCCGGTGCCGGGAAAAGTACTATAATGAGACTACTATTCCGTTTCTATGATGTGGAACAAGGTGCGATTATAATCGACGGACAAAATGTCAAGACTGTCAAACAGGAGTCTCTCAGAAGTGCCATAGGTATTGTCATATCGTTATTATCGACTTTAACATTTCTGCGACGAGCAATTATCCTGAAAACTTCTCGATTCACAGGTGTTGTGCCGCAAGACACGGTCTTATTTAACAACACAATAATGTATAATATTCAGTACGGTCGTATCGATGCATTGGAAGCAGATATAATCGCTGCTGCAAAGCATGCGGACATCCACGAAAGAATTCTTACATTCCAAAATGGCTATGAGACACAGGTACGTTAGTCCAATTAATCGAGCCAAACGTAGCTGGATTAATCATCTTTACTCGCATTCACTTTGCCGCGATCGCGCTTATATCGCTTGTCTCTCTCTTAGGTTGGCGAAAGGGGACTTCGATTGAGCGGCGGTGAAAAGCAACGCGTTGCAATCGCACGTACGATATTAAAAGCGCCGAACATTGTACTGCTAGATGAGGCTACGAGTGCTTTGGACACTCAAACGGAACGTAACATACAAGCAGCGTTGAATAGTGTGTGCGCCGGACGAACTACCATCGTCATAGCGCATAGATTATCCACGATCATTCACGCGGATGAGATTCTAGTTTTGAAAGAGGGCGAAATTGTCGAAAGAGGCAAACACGAAGAATTAATTTCGCACGGAGGTGTCTATCACGCGATGTGGCAAGCGCAGCTCCAAAATGATCAGGAGAACAACAAGAATGAGATTCTTTCCACGCATGAAGATAATGCGTTGTAACAAATTAGATTAACAATAATGAATAAGACTTGTAGAGTTCTATTTTTCAAATATATTTATTGTTGATAAGATTATTGTACTCACAGATGGAGGATATATTATACAGAGTCAAGAACTTGAGATCTATTACTGATGTATTAACATTTTCCTTAATAGCGGATGGGGCTATATTGATCTGTATTTTTTAGCCAGTAGAAAAAATACGACTATGTATTGTTAATGTAAGTATGCGTTAAATGCGTTAATAATTTATGCGAGTGTATTGATTTTTTAGAGTTTCATCTCCAATTGAAACTTACATTGAAAATTTGAACTAATCCATAAGAGTTAATGAATGTAATAAAGTACTTATATAAATTTGATTTTATCCCAATAAGAAACGTGTCTAATATACTTTCTCTGATATAAATAATAATAATAATAAATAATATATAAGATTGTGGAAGTAAAACGCGTTATCTATAACGTTACAAATTATACTTTCAGTAATGACTTATTTAATGACGGCGTTATTATATTTGATAATGGCAAAGAATATTTCCATTATTTTGCATATATAAAATACATGTGCATACAACAGCTTGTTAATTTTTATATAAAAAATTAATTAAGTATATGAACTCGATCATAACCAATAAGAACGTGGAGTTATCAATCGCCGGTACGTGTACAGTCCGATATAAAATGTCACTTGGCGCACGTGTGTGACCAGTTGGCAGAAGACGTCAACCATACCGGTGTATGTGTGCTTTTGCAGGAGTATCTTTATTTTTCCATCAGTTAGTTTAGGTTTATCGTGACAATGGAGTACATTTATCGATTACCGTTCTTAATCTTGGAAGTGCCTAATTTAAAATTAAAGAGACCGTCCTGGATGGGGAAACCCAGCGCTATGGTAGTCTTCTCCTTCATTCTCCTCTCGTACTTCTTAGTGACGGGAGGTTAGTTGGTCCACGTACACAGATCATTTATTTTTAACGCAATATTCTGACCTTTACAAATATATTCCGTTTCACAGGAATCATATACGATGTGATTGTTGAGCCACCCAGTGTAGGTTCCACGACAGACGAACATGGTCATACAAGACCCGTAAGTCGAGAGAATTTTTTGCTTTCATAATTCATTTTTTCAATGTTATGTTATATCTTTTGAATATTATCGTGTAATTCTTGCAGGTAGCATTTATGCCGTATCGCGTAAATGGGCAATACATAATGGAAGGTTTGGCCTCCAGTTTTCTCTTTACAATGGGAGGCCTAGGGTTTATCATACTGGATCAGACGCATGGTCCCTCAACGCCAAAACTTAACAGAGTTCTCTTGATATGTGTTGGATTTCTCAGTATAACAGTGTCATTTGTCGCATGCTGGATATTCATGAAAATGAAACTTCCGTAAGATAGTACTTATATTTTGAGTAATGTACACCATTATATTGTGTAACTAATTCTTTTTTATTTTTAGTGGATATCTGCAATCCTAAATGTAAGCTATTACAAATTCCATGGATATAACAAACGCCATTTTTATATTATTCAGGATATTGTAATGGATTGCTGATTTTTGTAATAAAGTGTAATAAATCAAATGAGATATTTTTAGTATTCTCATTATCAGTAATAGGGCAAAAGATGTGTACAATTTCTCAAATATATTATAGGTAATATTAAAAATATTAAAATATTATATGACATTAAATATCTTTAATATATAGCTATGTACTTTTCAAGGACATTATATTTTTCCAGAAATATATATAAATAAGGAGAGAGTATGTTCTTTTTTTGTTATAATTGCATGAACAAGTTTGAATTAACATATAAATTTTGGTAAAATAATATATGATCACATATTTAGCATAAGAAATAATTCTTTGAAAATAATATTACACACCTTTAAAATTCATATTTAACTGATCAAAGTTAACATTTTATTTTTTATTTATTTGCTCTTTCTATATTGCACTATCATATATGTATATCATACAATTTCTATTATATAATGAAAATTTTATACAGCACATATGTATATATAAATCGAGATATTTATATCCTCATAATAATTGATGATAAATACATATACATTTAATAATCATGCAATAATGTGTGATCTTACAATAGTCCTACAAGAATACATGTATAACTAATGCTATAAAACATATAAAACTAGTTTGAGATTATAGAAACAATATAAAAGTAATTTCATGTTTAGAAATATTTCTTTTATCACATAATAGCACAGTGAAAAATAAGAAATAAGAGATTTATTGATGTCACATTTAGGCCTAATTGTAGAGTTTTGGCACATTCCATGCATGTCGAACATAATATTTTTCCTGAATTATCTATTAGATCCACTTTATTAGTATAATTAATATGTAGTATCCAGTATATGTAGTATAAATCAATATCAGTCTTTTGTTGACTATTTTTTGTTAAAAATGCTAAATACCAATGTTTACAAACGAATAGCAAAGCTCCTGTAAACAATTTTAATATAATTTATAAATTTTATAGAATTATAATACAATAATATGAAGATTTTGTTTCTTACTTAGAAAAGTCGCTGCTTTTCTCTATAATGTGCTCAAATTCTGCAAAGCTCAAAGCACCATCATCATCTAGATCAGCTTCGTCAAGAATATACTGGAGAACTTGCTGCATGTCATTATCATTCAATCTCTGGGGTGCAGTTAACCTGTCAACCACTTGTCTCAAATCTCCTACACCCAGCATATCATCACCATCAAAATCTTAGGAAATGAAATAAATTAATAATATATTAAATATTTAAAAAAATAATATATTCTTTGTAGATGTAAATAATGAAAGAAGTGATATATTTACCAAATATTCTAAATGCATGTTCAGCTTTAACAGCCTTTGGAGCAGCATTGCTAAATACTGACATCATATCCAAGAAATCTTCAAAAGTACAATCGCCATCCTGACTAGAGCTAAAGACCTTACAAATTCTATCCCCAAAAGGATTTACTCTAAGTTCAGGATATTGTAAAATCTTAGACATTGGAAGTTTCGCATTCCTATTATGCCCAACTTTTTCTGGTGCAAGTGCTTTGAATTTTTGATGAGCACTGTTATAAAGACAAAAATAGATGATTTTGTAAGAGTATGCAATTAAAAATAAAATATCCTATTCAATAAATAAATAAGTTAACAATTAAAACTTACTGTAAGACCTCCTTCTTCGTAAAGTATGTTAAATCCTATTAATGAAAAAGATGATTATGATAATATTAAATGTTAAAAAATATAAAAATATTAAAAATATTAAAATTAACTTTTAAAGATGAATACGAAGCAATCTTACTTGATAATCCTGCAACTCTTCTTCAGTAAATTGACTACTTCTTGCGCCCATCTTTAAATATTTAATTCTACACAACAAACACAGAATAATTATACAATTTAGAGTCCTCACCTCTAATTTGGCTAAAACTCAACAATATTGTGTATTTTCAGGTGCAGAAATCGAATATAAAAGTTAAAATCGTTGTACTGTCCCGCAAAACGAAATATTAATTGTTAAAATTAACGGTACGATAGGTTATGAAACCTGTCATAGTGACAAAATGTAGCGACTTAGAAACTCAAAGCTTCATCCACATGTCACTCTTAACACACCATACACATTTTTCTTTCTATTATTTCCTCTTTACATTGCATTGCTAATTTCGTACACACCTTAACAGAGCAGTTACAAAAGAGACATCTACTAGCAAAAGTTAACAAAGGGATAAGTAGAAAATCGATTCGAAGCTATATTCTCAGGATAAAAGACAAACAATGTCGTTCAACAGAGTTACGAAAATTGTTAAAGATGTTTATAATGATCCATTTAAATGGTAAGTTATAAATAACTTGTTGGATTAAATTCCTCGAAGTACATTCAATATTTTGATGAATCTAACCTTAAAATTTACTTGTATGACATTAATTTTCAATGTACTACATTGTTAAAATTTATATATTGTTAAAATTGCTTAAATTGTTAATATTGCTATTGACTATTTTTACTCATTGATATAAATATATAATCTTAATTGTTACTTACAATCTATATCTTTCTGAGTTAAATACTTCTGTACAGAAGGCTGCCATGTGACTATTGTTTTCTATATTGAATGTATTAAATATTCCGTCTTATTGAAAATTACATATAACTAATTCTTGTATGATACGTATAAACATTTGTTTCATACTATATTTTTTGTCAACAGGTCAGCAGTAAAACACACAGCATTTTTCATAGTAGGTGTCAAGATAGCCCTTGAATGCAATGGAATGATCCTTATGCCACCCACTACTATATAAATCTGTATAGAATTTAGAAGAAAATATTATGTGAACACCACAAATGTTTACATATTTCATGCATTAATCACAATTACTATAACTGTTCTGGACCATTTGATTCTACTGATACTATACAACAATATTTGTAATTAAAACAATATTGCGGAAATGTTATTCTTCTTTTGTAATAAATAACACTTGTTTCTGTTGTTACCGCTGAATGTAGTTCCATAATTGCATTTAAAATAACCGCGTTTTTTTTTTACCCATTTAACTTCAGTTCCTTTCCGGAAGATGGCGTTAAATATCTTTTGTTAGGTTGGAAATTACTTATGTATATAAACATCCGGTTTGTTCTACGTATATCCATATTGCAAGTTCATAGATAACATTGACATTGTTGTAACGTTTCGTTAAACGCTAATACATATAACTGTCAATTTTGCAAGTTCGACAACAAATATATACTATTTACTTTGATAACTAGTTTCATAAGATAACAATGTCTTAGTAGCTTTAATAACAGCTTAAGAGAATACAATCTTCTCACCGAAAAATGTATGATAAGTTGATTTAGTGTAATGTTATTTTATTATATAAACCATTGATACAAAGGCGACATTTCTAAGCTGCGTGTGACGCCTGTAGTTTATCAACATGAAGGAAGAACTTGAGGGTAATGAAAACATAAATTTATCAGGTAAACTATTATGTATTTATGGAGATATATTAACAACTTAGTATTATGGGATGAAAACTTACTCTATCATAAAGTAATATTCTTAAAGTATTAAATGTTTGTAATAATAAGTAAGCAGAGAACTTATTTTTAGACATAATCGAAGCACTGTTAAACTCCTTGGATGATAAAAATCAAGATGTTAGACAATCTGTAACTGAATCAGTTGTAAGAATAAGCGAGAAGAATTCAGATGTCGTAATTCAAACAGCTGTATGTTTTTGGGAACAACATAGAAAGGTTAATATTCTATATAGTTTGTTAGAACTTTCTGTTGTATTATATCAACTTATCATTGCTGTTTTAAAAAGATATCCACAGAACATAAGGCTTGTCTATTGAATGTAATGTCCAATATGTGCAAGTATATATCTACAAGTTTAAATGCAGACTTAGCATCATCTGTTGCTGACTTAGCAGTAAATGAATTAGTAGGAGAGACAGAGACTGGAGCAGCTGAGTTGTTGGTTGCTCTTTCTAAAACGCATTGCACTCAAGCCATGGGTGGACTTTTAAGTAGGTGAGTATCAATTTTATATCTTAGATTTATTATAACATAGAGACTAATTTATTTTTATAAGCTATACAATATTGATGTCTTTTATATATCCTAATTGTATCTTTATAGATTAGAATTATTTTAATTATGTCTTTATAGATTAGAACCTGGAGTACTTCCTCACCATGCACTAGTCTTTACAATAGGAAAGCTTGCAACAGCTAATCCACCTGGGATGTTGTCTTTTGTTAAGCTAACATTAACAATTATTTTGCCAATGTTAAACCAAATACGTGAGGAAAATCTGAAGCAGGCAATTTGTTTCAGTAAGTACATATTCTTTATAATTTTTTTTCATAATAACAAAGCTGTATATGACTATATGTTCATAATTTTTAGCAACTGGCAGATTATGTGAGGCGATAAATGATTGTCTAATGAATACTGCAGAAATCAATAGTCATACGTATCAGGAGGAAATTTATTCTGTCTTTGATATTCTGACTCATAGTTGGTTGAAAATGTCACGTGATTTCAAAACAACTGAAGCTGTTTTAACAGCATTAGTTCCTATGATACCTCTATTACCTCAAGAAGTAGTTAGTGAAGACATTGTAAAATTGGTACCTGTGTGCTTAAATCTCTGTAAGAAGCAAACTGTGCGTTTAGCTGCTGTAAAGTAAGTTTTACATTTGATAGTATGTTTGTATATTGTTGTGTGAAAGAAAGATCTCAACTGTGTATTTCTGACTATGTAAAAATGTTCTCTTAGATATATTTCAATAAACTTAATGTGAAATTTCTTTAATTAATATTATAGGGTTTTGGCTGTAGCCTTGAACAGTGCAACGACTATTGATGACAAAGAAACACTTCACCCATATATGGAACAGATACATCAAACTTTGTCTGGATTCGTCAGTATTTTTCCTTTTGAAGCGTCGCGGGATGTACTTCTTACGCATTACGAGGTTTTACAATGTTCTAGATCATTGGTCATTTTATATCCCGAAGAAGGTCTCGATAGGTAATTGAAGTTATCAAATTTTGTTAAATCACAAAATTGTCAGAATATTAATCAATTATTATGTTTCTTTGTAGAACTTTACAGCAGGTAAAATCTTCGAATGCCGGTCAACGTGCTCGTGCTTTGATAGTTCTGAGACATCTCATAAACACTCTTCCACCAGAGGTATAAAAACAGTTCGCTCAACAAAACAAAGGATTGGTTTTTCTGATATACTGTTTTCTTAGGACGATGGGTCATTGAACAGAATTGCGCTCACTCTGCAAGAGTCTCTCGGAGAGACTAGCGCTCGGCAGATGGTTGGTGCCATAGTGGCGCTTGCGGCAAGACCAACATTCTCTCTTTCATCATCGCAGAGAGTCATCTTTATTCGTTATATGGTACAGTTTTACACATTTAAATAATATGAAGATACAATCAGATAAATAACTAAATTCGATTGAAATAGGTGTCCCATTGCGGAATCAAAAGTAACGACACAGAAGCGTATTCTGATGCTTTGCATTTACTCGCGACTACAGTCGATGGAGCTGAATTGTGGCTGTGGCCGTGTTTGATAGATATTTTGTTGGACTCGAATTACGTAGCATCTGTAAGTTATATTTGCCTAGAATATTTATATCGTATTAAACTTAATGTCTAAGTTTAATTGTGACTTTTCTGTGCACAGGCTGCATCCGTATTACGTGCATTATCGCCTTTAGCCGCAAAAATAATATCTAGCGAAATTTCCTCAATGCCCGAGAGAGATTTCCCAGGTACAAAAGTGCTGAGCAGATGTCTTGAATTATTAGGCGAACCAGCTAACCGTCTAACAGCAATCACCTTTCTCAAAATAGCAGCACCTTTGGTAGGACATCGATTGAAGCCTTATTGGGATAAAAAACTTTCAGAACTTTCACAGTTTTTACAAGACGAGCAAAAGAATATTCTGAGGAATTCCGCACAACGGTAATAGTTTTATAAAGATCGCTTTGAACTGGCAAATTGTGGAATTAACACGTTATCCTTTAGTTTTTATTTTCCTTCTTTTCATTCTCCAGAGATTTAATTTGGGAAGAGAAAGTGGTAGAATGGCTGGAAGAGAGCGTGAAACTAGAGGGAGATTCGTGGGGTGTCAAGCTCGCTGACGAGCTTGCTTTGAAATCGAGCGCGCCCGGTATAGCGCCGCTGTTTGCTTTGATGTGCAACAATCATGCTCACATTATTCTACTGGTCGAACACGCGCGCTCCCATGGCGGTAACAAAGAATACGCGCGGGCGGTTGGTATCTGCGCTAAACGACATCTCAGTACTGTGCTGAAAGTGTTGGACGAATTCTGCACCGCGGAAGATACCCGGAAGGTCCCTGTGAGGATATTAGGCTTTATGAAAGATTTCGTCAAAGATTTCGCAAAAACCACAGACGTTACGGAAGCAGCGAAAGCGGGATTGTTACAGTCTTACGCGGAAATCGCTCAAAGAGCAGATCCGGATGAATTCTTCACAACGTTCGAGGAACAAGTGTTACCGTGGACTGTCAAACATTTGACTACATCCAAAGAATTGTCTACGAAGGAAGCGGGATTATCGGTTTTAGAACATGTAAGCCTGATTCACGTTGTAAAATAAATTATTTTGTTGCGCGTGTGTTAATAAGATATTTATTTTAAGTTGAGCAAAGCTGTTCATCCCAGTAGATGGGTTAGATCTAAAGGGTTACACATGAAAGGTACTACTCTGGCTCTCCTATTGGGCATGTTGCAATCATCCACTGGATATAGACCGTTGCAACTTTATCCGGCGATACTGAAAGCAGCCATCTCTATAATGTATTTTTTATTCGACCATATATTCATATTTTTATTCAATCCCATATTTTTCATATAAATAAATGTAAATGTATATTTATTCTAAATATTTCTTCGTAGTCGTATACCTCCGTCTCTCAGTTACGAAGAGAATGAAATCTTCCTCACTGGAATGCTGGATAAGACAATCGGGGCTACTACAGAGGTATCAGAATTTAAATTATATCTATGATGTGTCGTGCATTCGCAACTGTGAGTGACTAATTGACATTTTTACCTTAGATTGTTTTATTACTGCAACCAGACATACTGCAACAAGTTACGGATGAGCTAGGCATTTTATCCAACGAGATTATATCCGATTCTGCGGACATGCTGGCTACATTAATTGATATATTGTTACCCTGGATGCAAACCAAGTCGAACATAGAGAGAAAGACCACTCTACTAGTGTTGGATACTGTACTTAGGTAACAGATCTGATTTCCTCTTCGTACATACAACTTATACATATTACAACATTCACATACATTACAATCTATATGTTACAACTTATATATTGTATATATAAGTTGTAGTTTGAAAATGTACTCATTTCCCCAGGTCCTACTTCAATTCTATAAAATTTACATACCCAAGCGGCAAATTCGACGCCGGAAAACTTGTGGGTAGAACTTTATCCTGGTTTGCGGTCGCTGAATCTTCATTGAGGCCATTAGTAGTAGATTGCGTGCTTCTTTCGCTGAATATTGCATGTCGTCATCGCTCTATGATAACCGACACCACGTGGGATGAAGACCTGAAGCGAATCAAGACAAATATTACTACTCATGACAAGTCGATAATTAACGAAGCTATGAAGGTCAATAATAGAATTTTATCTATTAGTTTTAATTATCTTCGGCTGATCTTTTATTGTAATAGGTAGAACGGTTTTAACGAATGGTTATAAGCTGTGGCATTTATTGTCGTAAACAGAGCTTGGCCAAAGCTGTGTCGGAAAGAATTCCTAGCAGTGAAATAATTGGTTTAGCAGAGGGACTGATAGAGGGCTTGTTGTTCGGTGGAGAAGCGGGCTTGGTAGTAGGCATAGCTCTTTCACAACATTTCAAAATTAAAGGATCAGAAATGTCCAGAAATGACGTTGGGTTGATCGGTACGTAAGACATTTTTCTCTCATTCGATAGAGACTTTCACACATCTGATCTCGCCAATCGAACATTCTCTTTTCTTACATTGAAGATAATATTGTTACACAAATGAGACACATGGAAAATGCAGACTGTAGGACCACTGCAGCAGCCGCTATAGTATTACTGATGGCACATCATCCAGAAGAAGTGATCGAACGTTTGTTACTTCAGCCATTACCGTTGGATCGGGCTACCGAATTATGCTGGAAAGAAATCGGTAACAACGATTTTGGACACCGGGTACGATTAAATCTTTTTACATAAAGATACACAAATTACGTTATACAAAAGATACATAGATGTACAAATTAATACGTTTCTTTAATAATTTGTTTCAGGCTTTGCAGTTGCTTCTGATGAAACTTGAGACTAACAATCTGTTTGCTGAGAGTACTACGTCGGCGCATCCTGAGAAGAATAACACCGCATCTTTCCAATCCTTGACGACTATAATAGCATTGAAACATTTGCTTCAAACACCGAAAGCCGAGAATCTAATCGACAAACAGTTGCCGAAATTATTATCGATTCTCCTTAAGTATCTCGCAGGTTGGCTAGAAGTTGACGCTCCCGCGGCGGTAATGAACACCAAGTATGGATACGTGCCAAATTTGGAAGCGAGAAAGATAAAGCCGCATGCAGAAGTGTATACTGTGTTAAGTAACGTGTTGATTATGGTTAACCCGAACGCTGCGTCGACTTTGTTGAAGGAAATCGTACGTACCAAAATATCTCACGAATTTATGACGTTTCAACGTTCGTCTGTAATTCTCTTCGTTGATCTTTCTATACCAATGAAATCTTTGCATTTAGGTATCTTCCTCCACAGCCAAAATCGAAGAGAACGTGGTGTTGACCGTGCGGAAATTAATTGAATGTGTATTAACTAGAAACGATGTTCTCTCGAACATGGCGCAATCCATAGGCAAGCTGATGACCAGCACGATTGCGATACAACGAGCAGTCGCCGCTACATTTTATGCGGAACTGATCGGTAAAGTGGACTGTGGAGTTATATGGCTCGACGCCATAATTAACACCTTGTACGAGGCTAAGGCTGACTCGTCACCCTTAGTGCGTACTCTCGCTACTACTGGACTCTCCAGGATAGCTTACGTGGACCAAAAACTGGTAATGTATCCTATTCCTTGGCCATCTTATATTCTCTCATACTTCTTCATTGTATAATAACGAATTATCGTTCTTTCAGATTGACGTATATTTTGATAATTGTATGGATGCTTTACTCGACGGACTGGAGGAACCGGCTAGTGGTGAAGGAGGTAGTGAAGTGGTGCTCGAATCATTGCGCGGTCTTGCAGTACTATTGTCCGTTCAATCCAAGACACCTATCAGTCCGCGGGTGGTGATGGCTCTGAAACCATTCATTGAAAAGGAGAATATAGACATGAAATTCGCCGCTATAAGTGTTTTGGGCGCGATAGCGATTAATTGGCAGACAACGGCTGCATTAGCAGACGACAACGATTTGTCCGACCATCTTTTGTGGTGTTTACCGTGCCTGATAGTGAGACTGGAAGATGCGAATATACTGGTAGCCAAGGTACATTTATGCATTGAATTATTGTAGAACATATTGAGCTGTTTCAGAAGGTTTTATTGTAATATATGTTTATGCTATTTGTGTCGACAGATCACGCAGGAAACTCTATATAAAATTGCAAATATTCTGCAATGTGAGAAATTGTCGCGTGCAATACGTATTAATTTGGGGCTACAAGTAAAAGTTAATTTTGAAACTTTTGCGAAGGAATTGATAGATTGCTTGAAGGAGGAACTTCCGCAAAGAGCAGAAGAACTCAGGTATATATACGTGCATAATACATTTTTATTAAGATAAGACCATCTAAACACCTTTATTTCTTTGCCAGAAATTCCGTTGTCCGAGGATACTCCAGATCAGAAAATCCTCATACCAGAGCAACATCTGCACTACTTTTAGGATTGTTCAGCTCCCCAAGACCTGAGGACATACAAAGATTGTTACAGCTCTTAAACGATAAAGAAAATATTGTGAAGATACGCGCTTCGCAAGCTCTTTCTTGTTGCTTTTCGTTTTAACATAAATGATTTACCACAACATGTTTCTCAAGTCAAGGAAGAAATGTTATTTTTGTGATACCGCTATATAGTTATACACAAGTTGTACGAAAGCTGTATGTGTAAGATATAATATGTATTTATGGAATTCATTTCATTTTTAACGCATATCATTGTAATACACTTGATAACATGTGATCTCTTTTCCTGTTGTAATTTTTATATAATTTTAATTATTAGGATTATCTGACAAAACATACATTCATACATATTAAAAATTATATTAGATGTATTAAAAAAATTATTCCTTTACGAAAGATGTGATGTTAAAATGTGTTAATATTTCTCACTATATATTATACATTTATATTACAGTAATACCTACGATTATAACTTCAGAGAGGTAGGATGATGCAAAATATATATTTATATATTTTACACATTCACACAGCGATGTATTTTTTATGAAAACTGTATAATTGTATAAATATTATATAACCATGAATATAAATAACATTATAAGAACTTGTAACAATATATGGTATATTATGAGACAATGGTTATTTACTATGTAATTTTTCTATACAAAAACTCAATTGCTGGAGACGTTGAAGCAAATTTCGCATATTAGCGCTTGATTGCCGAAGGCCTGACTGTTCTCCACCTACTTCCTGCCGTTGACCTAGCTCAAAGTGCAGTCTGGCCAAACGCTCTTGCTGTTCTCGTATTTCCGTCATTTGCTCCATGCTACAATCCTTTCCTAGTAAGTAATGAATGGTCTTATTAAGAATTGTACCATCTCTAACAGATCTTTTTGACAAGCTTGTATATACTGACCAAATGCTCTTAAATTGCCACTGTGAAAATCTTCCAACAACTGCAGCAAAGCTTGCTCCATATGACGAACATCGGGCACCTCTGACAAAAAGCAATGGTGTTTGCATGGCACCACAGCTTTACATAATAGTACCAAAACAAAATAAAAAACGTACTTCAAGTAAAACTCAAAGAACTCAATTATAAATTATAACTATAGAGAGTTTAGGTTCATATAATAATAAAATTATAATCGTAACCAATTAATAAAATATATAAATGTGTATATGTGTGTCTGGTATATATTCATAAAATAAAAACAACAAACAGACACAACTTAATAGTACATTATATATTCTGATTATACATATATGTTTTGATAGCATTTTGAGGTAGAATACCATTTACCTTTGTGCTGTCGAGCAATTTTTGGTGGATCTGGTCGATTGGGTCTTTGTTTCTCTTTCTCATTGAGATATGTCAAACGGGATTGATTGCAAGTATGACCTGAGGTATTGGCAGCTCGACCAGAAACCATAGAACCTTGACTGGTTGCTTGGCCAGAGCTACCTTTACTAACGATTGGTGATATTTGTGTGTTACTTTCCCATAATATCTGTTGCTGCAAATATGTTGTTTGAACAGATAATTATGTTGTTTGCATTGTTGTTCATGCAGGAAATTATTTGATGTTTGTGCTATTCTACCGATACATTGGAGTTCTGTGCCTCATTTTTACTTGGACGGTGAGATCTGGCTGGTGTTGAGGGAGGAGTAGCTTCTCCTCCATGACTGAGTGGTTCTTCACATTCTTCTTCCTGAACCAACTGTTGCAACTCACCACATCCAACTGCTTCGACCATAATGATAATACGCGTTACTGATTCAAAAAATATAGACATTTATGTGTATGTTTATCTTTGTTAAAGTTAAAAACAACCAATATAAATATATTATTCAAATATAAGTTTCGTTGTACATACACTATATCTTTTCCGTACAATTCCTCAGATACAAGTATGTAGTAATTTATTTTTTCAATTATTTTTCATAAGATTTTTTTCAGTGTTTATCCATAAAGCAGCATCAGCTGATTGCATCAGCTGTTTGACTTGTGTTATGCGGGGACTCGTTTGTCGATAATTTTTGGGCCAGTATTCATAGTCAGATCTTATATTTAAACCATCTTAAGTTTATCTTCAGATGATGTACAGATCATTTCATTGGTTACGAAGTATCTGTGATATAGTACTGAATGCACTCATTGGTTACTGACCAATCAGAATAAAAAGAACTAAGATTTCTTTATCATGATTGGTTAATTGAATGTTACTTTACTAGCCGCGTAGGATTTTGGAACGCAGCCCAGCTAGTAGTAAATCCATATTTTTAGCAAAGTTGGCGACACTGAAGATGCATTAGCAGAATAAAGTTTTGATTCGAAAGGATGCAACGGTTTTCTCCTGTACGATACAAACGGTATACGATTCAGAGTGTTGTATGATAGAAAAGTGATTCTTCTTCTTCAATATTTAGCTTCAGGCTTCACAAAGAATTTCGTTCCAACGCCATTATACAATAGAGGAGTGATTGAATTTATACAAAAATGAAGTCTGCGTAAGTATTGTAAAGATTATTGTATATTCAAGCATCATGTCTGGATCTACATGTTTCTATGTATTTTGCAATTAAAATACAAGAATATGGTATAAATATGCAATATAATTTCATTGCCAGATAAATAATTCTTCATTTATTCCAGACGTTCAAAGACACCAGCACGTAAACCAATTAATCGGCCGAAAGGATCCAATATGTTGTTTAAAGATCCTGTGCAAGTTTATTGTCGTATACGGCCAATGCAGTCTTTAACAGATAAGTCTTGCATGAGACCTACATCCAACACGACAGTAGTCGTAACACCACCAGAATCAGCAGCCAATTTCAGAACCATAAACAAAGAGATACGTGAATATACTTTTAGCCGTGTATTCACATTTGATGTAACGCAAAAAGAAATATTCAAAACAGTTGCTTTACCACTTGTGGAAAACCTCATTCAAGGAAGAAATGGTCTTCTATTTACATATGGTGTGACTGGGAGTGGAAAGACTTATACAATGACTGGAGAAGCTCAAGATTGTGGAATCATGCCTAGATGCTTGGATGTTATCTTCAATACCATTTCAAATTATCAGGCAAAGAAATTTGTTTTTAAGCCAGATAACTTGAATGGTTTTGATGTACAAAGTGAGGCTGATGCTATGCTTGAATGGCAGCAGCAGATTCATACAGGTCTGACACAAAGAAGTGGAAAATATGTAAAATAGTAAGTTTGTATTTATCATGTAAAAGTAGATAAATATTTCTATTAATAAGAGCTATAAAACCTATAATATTATAACTTTAATAATAAGCTGTAAGTTGTAAGAAACTGATAAAGATTTATCATAAAAATTAACAGTCGTAAGGTGGACAGCGATGGTGATAGTAATCCTATGGTAGCTCACGAACGAAATGAATCACAAACAGTAATGATTGATACAGATAATGCATATTCTGTATTTGTTACATATGTTGAAATTTATAATAAAAACGTATATGATCTATTAAATGAAGATGACATCACATCCAAGTAAGTATGCAATGTGTGAAGAAATCTTTTAATAAAATATATATTATAAAATATGTATTAAATTGTCTCGTTTAACACAGGGCACCACAAAGTAAAATAATCAGAGAAGATGGCAACAAAAATATGTATGTATATGCGGTCACTGAAGTTGAAGTGAAGACCGCTGAAGAAGCTTTTGAAATATTTCAACGTGGGCAGCGGAAAAGACGCGTTGCACAAACTGCATTGAATGAAGAGTCGAGTAGATCACACAGTGTTTTTACTATCCGACTTGTGCAGGTACTGTTTCTTACAATCTCGATTGTCAATCTTTTTATTTTCTTTACTTCACAATGCCAGGAAGTTCTTAGTTTTTTATACCTTATCTTTTTTTATATTTTTTCTATACCTACTTCTTTCCTTTTCGCCATTTATCCTATACTTAGCAAATTCCATCCTTTGGATTTTTCTTTATCCTTTGGATTTCTTATTCCATACTCTCAAAGGTTTGCCATGCCTTCCGAGAGGAATGTGAGCGTCAGAAAATTTTTCGGTTCCTTTGGGAATCGAACCCGAGAGATTTCTAGTATGATAGACTGCTGTGCAGTCTATTGTGCTACGCTCGCACTCGATTGTCGATCTAAACTGAAATTATATTCTAGGCACCCCTAGATTGTGAAGGTGAAAACGTGATGCAAGATAAGCGAGTCGTGTGTATAAGTCAATTATCTTTAGTCGATCTAGCAGGTAGTGAGAGAACGAATCGCACTAAGAATACTGACCAACGTTTACTCGAAGCAAGTACGAAGTTTTATTTGTCATATCAACAAAGTTTTCAAGAGTATCCATGTTTACGAGCATTAAATCGTTTTCAGACAATATCAATATCTCTCTAATGAATCTACGCTCGTGTTTGGAAATCTTGCGAGAGAATCAGAGTCAAGGCACGAATAAGGTGGTACCTTATCGTGATTCTAAACTTACTTATTTGTTCAAAAACTATTTCGATGGTGAGGGGCAAGTTAGAATGATAATTTGTGTAAACCCGAGAGCAGACGACTATGATGAAACAATTGTAAGGAAATGTTAGATCTTCGTACAAAATAGAAATATAATTAACAGTATTAACTTCTTTAATATTTTTCCATAGCAAGTCATGAACTTTGCGGAAATGACCCAAGAAGTACAGACTATAAGACCTACTGCTCCAAAATTGGAACTTGGGTTTACACCTGGAAGAAGATTAGCAAAGGTAGCATTAAATAACTGTTACAAGATCGAATAATCTTTTGGCAATTTCTTTTTCTGGGGAAATCAAAGTGACAAATTTCTTTTTTTTATATTTCAGGAAGCAAAGAACAAATCAGAGAAAAAAAGTCGAGTGGAAGCTATTGATCTAGGTTTAGTATATAAGTATGTTGCAATTTAAAAACAACTATAATTTTAAAAACATTTTTTTCTTATTTTTTTAATCCGATAATTTAGCGTAAATATCATGATGGAATATTTAATTATATTGTAGTTTGGACGGACCATTTCCTGAATTGGAAACCATTACTCCAAATAATGATCAAGTAATACATTCTGTGTTACAATTTTTGAAGCAACGTATTAACAAGCGCAATCTATTGCGCGCAGATTTATTGAAGAAACGTGAGACATTTTGCTTTATAGAACTAAATATTGTAATTATTGCAATTAAATGCTAATATACATATTCCATTTACAGAAAATGAATTTAGAAAAATGTTAGTGACAGTACAACAAGAGAATATGAACTTAACAGTTGAAACTGCTACATTGAAAGCTGCAAATTCGCAACAGAAAAAAAAAGTAAATACCTTTTTGATAATATTTTTACCTCCTAAGAAAATAAGAATACATGTCTGTTATTTTATATTTTATTTGTGATATTTTTAGATAGAAGTGTTAGAAGAACATCTTTGTAAGACAGAAAAACAAATTGACAATCTACTGTGTGAATTAAATAGTGCTGGTGATACAATACGAAGTTTAAGACAGGAGGTAAGTCTGCTATTAATTATACTCAAACTTTACTTTTGACTATTTTAACATATGATATTTGTTAATATATGATGTTTCGTAGATACAAAAACGAGATTTGGCATTGAATAAAGGTTTGATTGACAAGCAAAAAGTGAAACAAAGATATAACACCAAAATGCAACTAGAAACAGATAAAATGAACAAAGAATTAGAAATTAAGCTGCGTCAACAGCGTGAACGTCTTCAAGTAATTATTCCACGCATTTAAAATATATTTTTAGCTTTAACACTGTGGAACATTAACATATATTTCTATTTAGAATCAAATGAGAGAGAAGGAAGATAAAATACGGTTGATGAAACAAATTTTAGTGGACGATGATAATACTGACCCTACAGTGATGATCCCACAAAAAGGACGAATCCCAGAATCAGCAACAAAAGTCTTCTCAGATACAGAAACTCGGAAATCGCGAAAGGTTGTTTTTCACTTAATTAAGTTATTTTTTTAAATATAAACTGAAGTTATATTACGATAAAATAAAACAAAATAAAATATAATAACAATAATAACGATAATAACAATAAAACTTATGTAAGTTAAATAAAAATAATAATGAATGCTTTCTGTTTTACGTACGTAGGACAATATACCTGTTTCAAATCCGCGCTACAGACGATCGCGAAGTGTAGAGAGATGGATTGATCATCGACCTGGAGCTTTAGTACCACTAGGTACCGTTTTGCAGCCACGAATGCAAAGAAGACGAAGCGTAACGCGACTTACTTCTCCGAAAGAAATTACGGAAGGTGCATCCAGATATTGTCTTGTCACACAAGAGCAAGATACAGATGGAGAACTTGAAACAAAATTATACAAGGTACTATAGTAAAATATTAAGAGATATCCCAGGTAGCCAAGTGTTTTCTGTTTGTTGTCTAAAACCGATAGCAAACTTACACACAGTTGGCTATCTGGCATTATATGTAATTTTCAAACACTCTCGGAAATGTAATTTTGTTCTATTTCTCTTTAAATAGGGTGACATATTGCCAACAAGTGGTGGTGGAGCACAAGTAGTATTTGATGATATGGAATGTTTAAAACAAACGTCACCGAAGGCAAGGAAACGAAGCGGGCCTCGAGAAGAGTTAAATCGAGTAGTTGTTCCTACTGAAATAAATCCGAAAAAAGCACGTATAACACCTTTAGATTGAAACTTATAATAAAATCACTTAGCTTGAGGGAATAAAATGAAATAAAATATTTTATACAATTGATATTATTATTGCAACACATTCATAAAGCACGTTAGTATTTTTACTTATAATTCTTTTAAGAGTTTAGGTAATTGAAAAGATGTGTATATCGTTTCTTAGTATAATAATTTTTGTACCTTTTTATATTTTATGACATATGTGTGTGTGTGTGTGTGTTCTACTTATATTTTTCTTTTCGTACGTCTTACGCGGGACACTCTGTGTGTGTGTATATATATATATATATGTGTGTGTGTGTGTATGTATGATGCATGTATATATATATTCATGTGTATACACACACGTACACATACATGAGAGCTGAGATACTTTTTTGTATATTAATTTTGTGTGTATGTAATTTATATATTAATTATTATTATATTATTATTATTATTAAAGTAACGTGTATGATATACAGAAATTATTGTACATTCCTATATGTATATTGTACGTTATTATGTAGTTACTTAAAATAATATATTATGAAGGTAAAAAAAGAGAAAATTTTACTACAAGTATAAAATGCTTGCATAATTTTATTACATATGCGTCATACTATATATATATACAGTTATAATTCCTTAAATTGTAAGGACGTGTGCGGACGAAGAGATGGGTCTGGCAATGAATTAGTTCCCGACGTATTTCTTTGTAAATTCAAAACTTGATTCTCTTGTTCTGAACTGTAATTACATATATATAATGTATGTAACATTATTTTTATATCTAAACAGATACGCAATTATTAGGAGTTATCGACGCAACTTACCGATTTACTATATTCTCATTGTTACCATTATCCTTTACGAACGTTACTAAGCCGTACGAATTGTGTTTATCTAATGTCCCATTATAAACTAACAGATCATCCACCAATATCTGCAAATTAAAGATATTTCCATTGAGACTATAGAAATAGTAAAAGTTAAAGAAATTCTAACAGAGTATCACAAATCTATTTCTCTTACTGCAAATTCTTTAACTCTTCTTTGCAGAGTTTTTCCGTAATTCCATATTTTAATCATTGATACCATAACAGGTTGATAAAATATTAGATACACACGATTCGTCTGAAAGGTAACGTAATAAAATATTAATGCGAGAGTAGTTGAGCTGTGACTTTTTTATGTAAAATTTGATTTATTTCTGCTTACTTGTCCAGGGAGTATCGGAGCCAGCCAAGCGTGACGACCATTTTTAGTATTATTTATTCCATCGATAAGTTTGTCCGGCGTGCGAATGTCGTTGTCTATACCTTCTATTATGTTAACGCTTTCAGGAAATGCAGCTATATCTGATACAAATTAACTGGCATTAAGTTGCTATCAGTAGTTAACGTAAAAGATCACAATTGTAAATAATATTTTAATTGTTCTTAACTTTATTTCTAAGAGAAAGCGTTTTTAGATATCTGATTATTAATTTGTGATAAAACGAGTGATGGATGATGATTTGAACATACTATCAGTAGTTAATATGATTTCGTTTCCGTAATTGTCATATATCTGTATCCCATTGAGGCCAACATAGTAAGAATCTCCCCATGTAGAGAAAATTATTATCTGATATACAAATCCTTGTGGCATCGACGGGGCCTCGTAATTCGAATCCAAAAAATCGATTTCTAAAATCATGCGTAAGGAATGACTTGAATCCGGTGAATGAATTTTTAACGATGAATAATGAAAAATACTCGATGATATTACACACCTTCGGATGATTTGATTAAATCGGTAGGATGATTCGAAAGACGTATATGAGATAATGGCTTACTGACGAAACTAACTTCTTGGACGAAATCGTAATGACAAGATCCTGGTGCGCGTCTCAATAAGAAGCCTTCGAAATTTTCATCGTGTAATATTTTACCATCCAATTTAACTAGTAACTGTTTTACCTGGGCGAAAGCGGAAAAAATCTTTGAAATTCGACTGTTGCAAATTATAGAGTCTTCTTTCTTTCACACGATACTTATGTCGGATATCTTACTCCACAATAAGATAGTTCTAAGGATGCGTTATAATTCCAAATCCGCATTCCTGTCAGACATACGTCTGTATTAAAAATTATGGTTATTGTAATTTTTTCATTTGACGCTGCATTCGCTAACCACATGTGATCCATTTCCGTAGTAATATTATATCCATCAATTAGTCTCGTTAAGTGCATATCGCCAACGTTACAGTGCAAGTTGGCATTTATTAGTGGGAGAGCTACACCTTGATCTCCGATTAATTCTATACCAGTAAGACCTACAAATGATGTCAATTAGAGCGGATTCGTTATAATAGTGTTAATAATACGTTTACTCACCTATCAGATGATGTAAGCCCCAATTAGAAATAATTACTAATTGAACCTCTTTACAAGACAGAGCATTAGAAGTTGTGTCGTGAATTTCACTATCTTTGGATAAGTCAGAATTCTCAAGGAAATTACTTTTATGTCTTGCTGAAGAAATCTGAAAGAACGATTGCGTTGCATCAGTTTTGAATAAATTGTATCAATGTAATTAGCTCTCTTACATCATTAGTTGTTGCTGTGATCGGGCGAATTGTTTCCATCTCCTCGCAGTCTAACATTGCATTATTGTATTCTATGAAGGTATTATCATGTTTTGATATCAATTCCAGAATATTTTCATCCGTCGTAAATAAAATAGTCTACATCAGCCAATATTTGCGTGCGTTATGTATCAAATTAATTTTTATATATTACTATATATTTGATAAGAAATAAGAGTAAGAACGGTGATTTGCTTGTTAAGTAGATTCTCATGTATAATAACAATGCTTATATAATATTTAAGAGAAAACTATTTTCTATAATTTGGGATTTATTTGATAAAAATTCTTACATCACCGAAAGAGTCAAGATTGCCCAAATCATCCCCTGATGCTTTAGCAATTTCTCCATCAAATATGATAACATTATTTAATTTAATAATAATGTCTTTAGCTCCTCTAAAGGAGTGTATCCTAGATTTATTATAATTCTGCAAGTAAAGAGGAAATAGTTTTAGTTGAAACATATTTTTCAGCATTTATGTTTGCAAATTACTTTGTAATTACTGTAAAGGGTCTTACCCATATTCTAATCATTGCTACCGTGATCGTGTCTTCGAATATTATATAAATATAATGATGGTCACCATTTGAATAAGGCGTTAACCATAAATTCGCATCATCCCTCGTTCGATTAACACCGTTAATCAAGTTGTACACAATATGAGGATCATAGTCTTTACCTAACGATTTAACGTTACTCGTTGAATTTGCATATATCTCTTTTATTTTCGCTGGTTCTCCGGTATTTGAAAAGATTTCAATGCCATTGAGGCCTACGTAATGTTTGTCACCCCAAGTGGAAAGAATATCAATAACTAATGAGTCGCCAGATGGTAATTCGGGAATAATGAAATTTCTGTAGAATTTTTCTATAAATAACGTAAATTTAATATATTATGGAGAAACAATAACATATAAAAATAAAAAGTAGGGTGATAACAGATAAAGTATCTTATATTCTTAAATATTTATAAAACTATAGGAATGTAAAATTTCAAGATAAATATCAACCTGTTTGTAAGTCATTTTCGATCGAGATTTCAGATTTAGAATCTTCTTGATATTGTTCAGACAATTGCTTTATCTTTTCTTCATTCTGTATGCCAAATGCTGAATTATTTAAGTAATGATTGTTTAATAAATGTAATCTTGTGTCTGTATAACTGTGAACTGAAGGATATTCAGTTTGAACTTTTTCATTGTAAGATTCTGTACTGTTACTATGACTTTTAGGTGCTAAATGATTGCCGTGTCTCTCCATCTGTTTTCTTTCTAAATATGCATCTAAATTACGAAAATCATCTTTCGTACGACACTTTGCACTTACAACAGCGGAAGAGGCACGCGTTCTTCTCTGTTTAATTTGTGCCTCACCACTTTTTGGTGTATTTGGCAGTGATTTACTTGTGGATGCTTGCAACTTAATATTGTCATCATTATCATACAAATTGTTCAAATGTGAGCTGGTTTGTGTATCTCTGTAAATATTGAAGGGAAATATTATTTTTCTATTATCTAAAGAAAAATATTATATTTTGTTTAGAGAACATAAAAATTTTACAAATTATCATTTTCTTCTTGGAAAGAAATATCCTTAAAGTAATGCTGATCATCAATTAAAAATGCTTCTGTTTTTGTTATATATGATTTGGCATCATAATTTATATTCAGTTCCCCTATATTGCTAACAAAAAAGAACAATATGTATCATCTTGTTATATAAAAATACGCATGAAATGATAACACCTACTCAGTCATTTCCAGTAACCACGACGGCATTTTGATTGCGCCATCAGGCAAGGATGCAGTCTTTTCTCCCTCCTCCTCGTGTGTGATATTATCCATATTTTATTTTGTTAGATCTAATCACTGGTAATGGTCACGCTTCACACTATCATTCAAACAATGTCTTGATAATGATGGCTTGTCAAGTTGAATTGCGCATATGATTTATCGTCGAATAAAAGACCGTTCGAACACATAATTTCCTTCACGTTCCAAAATAATACGAGCACATAAGAATTTCCATGATGCGTCGAATAGGTCGCAACTAGTAGAAGCACTTATCCATTGTCGAGTCGTTCGATTCTCGTCTTGTTTGCCATTATCACCATGGAAACCTTTCAGGTGTCGACGTCTATACACAATCCTGAGTGGTTTTAATGATTAATGTGACTGTTATTATCTACACGCTGATAAGTTAGTTGAGCGTGCAGCGAGATACCATTTTTTGCTCTAATACATTATTCTTTATTTTTCAATAATAAGAATTACACTAATATCAGGAAGCATACCAATGTACGACAACAATGCTACATATTATTCCACAGTATCTTGGTCCACTGCAAATCACAAGGACAAAAACTACACAGTGAATGAACTCATAGTGAATAAATATCACTTTGTACTTTGTTTCTTGCAATATCACGATATATACGTATATCGCAAGTTAATGTCTTCATTACATCTTTTGTTACAAATAAGCATCCTTTTAATAGTATACTTTACGATATTGACGCTATACACATTACATACGCAATAAGTATGTATTAATTTTAATAGTACAATCGCAACGCAAATAAATATATACAAACAAGATAAATCTGTAATGTATAGCTACAGGTAAAAAAACGTGTTATAAATAAGCGATGTACAATACGAAATAATATATAATAATATAATCATTACAATAAGTATCATGATTAATTAATCTTATTTGCATTGTTAATGTATACACACAAATTAATAATAAGAGATTCAATTTTTTATATCATAATGCTCGCAAACAGTGTCAATTAATAATAAAAATATCATTATTCAACAATATATATTATATTTTACAAAAAAGTAACATCCTTTCATATACTTAAGTATATAATATTCTTTTTCCTCTAAGTGGTGACATGCCAAACCACACATAAAATTATCGCAAATTCACTAAAATAACTAAAATATTAAAATAATGATAAATTATCGTAATTTGTTAAAAATACGCTTAGTTCTTTTTCTCACACATAAATTGTATCATAAATTTAGTATGTATGTGTATTTATATTGCGTTTGCATATATTTCAATATATTGGAGAAAACACTACATTAAGTAGATAGGAGTGTGAATTAAATTTTGGCACAATATATCTGTAAACGAAAAGATGATTGACACTTTCGGTAAAATCAAAGAATACATGTTCAGTCAATTTGATTTCCATTTACCAGTAACTAGTATGTAGCATTAACCAGTACTAGTATATAGCATTTACATTTCGTAAATTCTAATGTAAAGATCTTTATAAAACTTATAGTGTAAAACGAAATAGTGTTTGTTCGAAAAATAATACCTGTAGAATGGTACAGGCTATAAATCTTCTTTCTTATAATAATTTGGCATTATTCACGAATGCTGACCTCAATACTAACGTACTAAATCACGCAAAAGATACAATTTTTTATCAGACATATCCGAACTTGTAATGCAATTAGTAATAATCGAGTCATACGCGTGAATAATATAATATTTAGTATCTTCGCTAATATATGTATATATGTATATATATATATATATATATATATACATATATGATACCTAATTTTTTAGTTCTAATACAAACATTCATAACACACGAATCTAATTTCATGTGGCTGTCAGGTACTTAATTAACAAACTTCACGATTATTATATATTTACATATTGCACAAGTCTTTTGTTTACTGAATGATTTGGAATAATTAGGAAAAAACCCGACTGTCTATTGCGCGGTTATAAAAGCCACGATTCGGGATATAATAGTAGCCATCGTTAAAAATCAATTTGATTTTATCAAAAGCTCTTCTCTTTTCACAAATGTGGATATAAATTAAACAATATCTTTCTATCAGAATATAAAGGGTTCGCTCTTAGAACTGCTATGTTTTAGAATCTTTAGTGTTTGGAAGAAACATCGTAGAAAATAGTATACAACACCCTATAATTCTAGATGTGATTTCAGTATATTCGACATTGATGGCATACTGCCAGATGGTCCAAGAACATTCATCGCGTCCGTCTCAGGAAATACGTGGCTTAGAATCGCGTAGTAATGAAATCCGGCCGCTGCGGCTACGAAGAGATGCCAGATTGCGTGCGCGAAAGGTATTCGACCATCCGATTTGAAAAATACTATGCCAATGACGTATATCAGTCCGCCTAGTTTCAATTCCGTGATATTATAATAGTTACGCTGTAAAGAAACAATATATCGTAGGAATTACTATCACAATCTTATAGCTTTGTATATCAATCTGAATACGAACAGATCATTAATATACTTACAACATTAAGGATTGCAACGCTAGGTCCGATACCCATAATTACATAGAAAATAGTTTCAAGCATCTTATATTTCTCGTGGAAGATCTGCTGGTACAAGATGCCCATTATAGCCATAATCCAAACAACATATCGCATCGCGAATAAACGCTCGTCGTCTGAGAAATAATCTACGTTTAACCATGGGAAGTAACTGGCTGCTATAAAGATGTAAATCATAGCGCGATCACAGCGATGCAATGCGTCTTTCAGTTGTCTGAAATTATTACATAAATGTTACACATACAACAAACACACGTTATTCGTTATCTGGCGTAACTAATGATGATAACGGTACTGAAAGTTATTAAGGATTATTAAGGCAATTACCAAAAATACAAAAAACATAAACTATAATGACAATAAAGATTAAATTACTGAGGAATCATAAAATAACAGGCTAATAAGCGACAAATCAGTCTCTATTTCTCTATTCGAAAGTGGCGTAAATCTTGCAAAATACGAAGATTGACAAATTACGAACGTCGATTTGTCCACGGATATGTTACAATAATATACACAAATTCGTATAGCTGTATCTCGTTTCGGAACCTGTGACATTTCAAAATTAGACTTACACCATTTCCAAACTTTGGACTTCAATATAACTCTAGGCACACATCTGTATCTCTTACTCTTTGATCCGTTGCAATTGCAGAAAATGATGATACCTGTTATAATTGCAATAGTGCACGCTGTGGAAGAAAGTTGACACTGCGAAGACAAGAATCAGGGAAGTGCCATATACACAAGCGGAAACGAGTTGCGCCCATGTTGTCGAACGGTGTATAAGCTCGATACCGCCTAGTACTGAAGGTACAACCCATATACCATGAGTTGCCACATTTGCCATGTGTTCTATAGTTGTGGGAATATATGCCTCATTCGTACATGCTCTTGGATTCATCCATTTTATCCTGTAAACAATTGCTGTTTTATTTCTTACCTTAAAGTATTCCTTCAACTGTGCACTGTGTAAAGTTTTACAAAATTTAATGCTTTAATGCAAAATTTATTGCTGGAGAAAATTAGTAGATCAAATTATTTCTTAATATTGCAAACATTCAGAGTTCAGTCAGAGACAAGAAAAATAACACTTATGATATTTATACAATAGACAGTACAACATTTATAAAATAGAACAATCAACTTTTATGACAAGGAAGATCTTTATTCTCATTATCTATTTTTTCAATATTAATATCTAGCAAAGTTCTCTTCTATTGATACTAATATTATGAGAGAATATTACATAAGGAATCACAAAATGTTTCTTATATAAGACGAAACAAGATTACTGGTTACTATAATTGAAATCTAATTAAACAAAACGGATAATGCTTTTGAGGCGTTTCAACATCATGTTATGCAGTTTTGATTATATAATCACTAACATAGTAATTAACATAGTAAATCAAATATGAAAAAACAAAGTAGATGAATCATAGCATAAAACTGAAATTAGCCTTATACCAAAATACATGCATGTTTAGAGAAGCATATACTACAATTTGCATAGGTTAATATATCGACTAATAGTACCTGCTTCTTGATGTATTTTGTAGGGGAAACTTATTCCATACAATCCAAGTTGATGATGTAAAATATTTTGCCGTATGTCCATACCACTAAGATGATCCATTGTTTGTTGATTGAAGATACTGATATCTCATCTTTCTAAAAGCGGTGCTTGTGCATTCTGTTAAAGGTCTCACACTATCTTATGCATGCATGATTTTCAATTTATTTTAAGCTGAATTAATAACACATAATTGCAATGTTAATAGAAAAGTCTGAATGCAATATCAAGTTATTTAACAAAATTTAATAAATAATGAGATTTATATAACAGAATACAGTTCCTCTCAATGTTATTTAATAAAATTTAATAAATAATGAGACATTTATATAACAGAATACAATTCCTCTCAATGTACTGCAAAGTGCAGCCTCTTGTAACTTATTATCTATGCATCTAATCATAAAAATTTCTAACTAGATGTATAGAACATAGATATACAGCCATGATAAATCTACAATATATTATGATAAACATTTATCAATCTCTATTAAGAATACAAATTTAGCTTATAACATATTGCAATCACAACCAAGACTATACTGTTATTTAGACATCTTACATGTAAGAAGCTGAACTATCATATAATCAGCTGTTAGGAAACTATATTATTACATGCAAATAAGTTACTTATACATATGAAATACATGCCAAACGCCCAGGCAAGTACCAAGAATGCAAAAACGTAAACTATAATGACAAAGATTAAATTACTGAGGAATCATAATAAAATGACAGGCTAATAAGCGACAAATCAGTCTCTATTTCTCTATTTGAAAGTGGCGTAAATCGCGTCTTGCAAAATACGAAGATTGACAAATTGCGAACGTCGATTTGCCCGCGCATATGTTACAATGACGTACACAAATTCGTATAGCTGTGTCTCGTCTCAGAACCCGTGACATTTCAAAATTAGACTTACACCATTTCCAAACTTTAGACTTCAATATAACTTTAGGTACACATCTATATCTCTTACTCTTTGATCCGTTGCAGTTGCAGAAAATTTTTGATGGGTGTTGTGATGAATTGATGAAGGCAGGTACTGGCCATAGTGTCGGGTCGACGGTGAGAAATTTGAGCTGAGAGGCAGGTATGCTCGTCGATATCCGATGAGTAGTCAAATTTCTTGGATGTCAAAGCTAATGGCACAACAGCTGGCTGGCAAAGGTCTTCCATTGCATACTGATCGATTTGTAATGATTGACGTTAAGCATCGTAAGTGGGTTATGATGGTATGATATTACGGGAGCTCGATTTGTTCTCTCTCACCACAAGAGAACCGGACTCGTTTCGTCGTGTTCAGTCGTAGCCTCAGGAAGCTACCAAACACGTCTGAAACACAGTCCGCCTCAGCTCACCTACTTTCTCCTCCACAGACACTGCACCGGATACCGACGAACACTGAAGACCTTGTCGCTGTCAAAGTCTATCCGATCCATTGGGGCCTTTTATATCGTAATCGTCCATGATTGAGAAATAAAATTGATTCGCTGACAGGACTAAAGAGGGATGCAACGAAACTGATTGGCTACGCCATATTGTGTATCCCCCTCCTCTGTACCGAACAAATAATTCAAACGTTCGACGTGCACCTTTCATTAATATTAATTTAGATACATTTTTTATGTTTGTAAAGGTCATTTCCTATTTCTGACCTGAATCTCATACATTGACGTTCACTTCCGTTTCTTAGATTTTTTTAATCGTGAAATTTTACGATTATTCGTACGATCGACAACTCAAAAATTCTATCTCGAGAAAGAATAAGAAAAGTATAAAGAATAACAAAAGTAGCTGAAAACACTTCTTTTTTTATTCTCAGATACACTATAGAATATCGATAAAAAACTTTGTTATCATTGTGTATAGTGCTGACATTGAGATATCGAAATTATAAAATATCAAGCAAGTTTTCTTTGTTATACAATTATGCTGTAGAATGATCACGTTACTTATATAAAACAATTCGAAACGAAATATGTTTAAAACAAATTATATACATGTATATGATAAGCATGATACTAATAGAAATCAGATGAATATCGTAATTGGCACGTCGCTTGTGCCCGAGTGAGAGTTATATTATCATTTTTACTCTCGATCGTTACCTATTATCTGGAATTTCTAATAAATAAATTGTGCAACACAAATTCATTGACAAGGATATATCAAAACGTAAAAACTTTGTTTCAATGAAACAATTTTTTTCGGTGTATTCTTCCTCATTCGTTTCTTCTTTTCTAACTGGAAAGCACTTCGTTTTCTGTGATATCTGAAAACAGCTCACGCATCTGAAAAATTTAACATTTAAAAAAAAATATATATATATACATACACAGTGGTTAATATAATATATTAACATTATAATATATGCACGATAACTCACGTTTTCTTGATCTCTGTTTTGACATTGTTCTGGATTACAGTTACAATTGTTGCAAGTTATATTGTTCTTACGGCATGAACATAAACGTGTAGCGCATTTAGTCTTACAGGCACATTTTATCTCACCTATCTTAGGTTCTATTTTAAAAGTTAATTGTTGAACCGACAGCTTTGATTTATTCTATAAATAAGAAAATCACACATACTTTACTAATCAATAACAACAGCAATCAGTACAATCATATCTGTAATAGTGATTGCAATTGTTATTTTTACCTGTAACTTCTGTATGCGATTGTAAAGCGGTGTTTTTTTCCAATCGGGGTCATTCTCAATGTCATCGTCGTCGTCTTCTATTGTTAAACTATCATCACACCACCCATCAATATTCTCCATAAACAAATTCGGCATATCATTCACATTTTTTGTTGTCTTAGACTCCTTTTTGTTTTCGTTGTTCAAATTACTTTTTGTTAAAACCTACATTGTGGAATAAAAATAATGATTATCCGTCTTCGTAAAATTAGAAACAGATTTGTACGAAAGTGTGCCTTTGTATTTAACATTAGTTAATGTAAAATTCTTTATTTCATTACCCGTTTATTAGATTTTGATATTTCCATGTTGTTTGAGGACGAGGTAGATGTATTTTCCAGGGAATACGTGTTGTTCTTTTTTTCCCTTTTTATATATTCTTCTAATTGTGCTTGTTGATTTAGATATTTATCCTTAAATGTGTCAAACATTTTAATAACCAATTCAAGTATATGTAATATATATAATTGTATAACTAATGACTATATCATAATGATGTATATACTAACTTTGAGTTCATTAAATTTGTAACGTTGTTGCTTTCTGTCTTGTGCAATTAGGTGAAATACTGTTTGACATACTACTTTGGCGTCTGCAATAGAGTGTATCATATTCCATCTCGTATTCGCTCTGGCTTCTGAAAGAATAATTCGTAAATGATAAGTCACATTTCTATTTAGTCAGGCAAAATAATCTCCAAATATTTGACCTTGATCCGACTCGACAATTTCTTTTTGAAGATCTGCAATTTGTGTATTCCGCAACTCTATAAACTTGGCAAGATTTGCACAATCCTCTTTGTTTGGATCGTTACTTCGTTTAAGTTGTTCCAACTGATAAGATAAGGAAGCTCTATCTTGCAACAGTTTTTCAAGAGACAAATCGGCGTCTATTGTAGCCATTAACACTTCCAATTCTTGAGCTATCCACGTTTTTATTTCATCTTTACCGTTAGCCTTTTTCTCTTGTCGTTCCATCGCTTTCTTCTGCATCTCTAACGCACCCTACGCATAAATTGTATATAGATTCGCACTTAAAGTAAGAGATATAATACGCAATACTTGAAAAAAAAATTTTTAAAGCAAAAGATGTAACTTACTTTTAGCCTTTTATTTACAGCAAATGCCTCTTCCATTTTTCTTTTGAAAACAATCTCTTGCTTATTGTGTTGCAATTTTAAGCGTACCATTTCGTAAGCACGCTTACGATCTTGAGTTTTCAGTCTATTGATTTCCTTTTCTCTGGATTGTTTCCACTTTGTAAAGTTATTCGCATCGTTACGCATCTGCCTGATGAGCTTGACTCTAGTTTCTTTTAACGATTGTATTTCGGTCGAAAGAGTTTTTACTCTTTGATCCTGCTTCTCTTTCGCCTTAATGATTTTATTCTGCTCTTGGCATTTACGCGTCAATTCTGCTATTTTTTTTTCTAGCTCTTGTACTTTCTTGCGACGTGTTTCGGCCAATCTGTACAAAAAATACGCGAAAATTAAACTGTTATACCAATAACAACATTTATACTTCTTAATTGCTTACTTCGAAGTAATGTTGCGTGCGTGAACTGCTTGCAAATGTTCCTCTCTTTCCGCATGCAGCCTCTCAATTTCCTTTTCCATCTCCGCAACGTCTCCGTGGCTTTCCACAGTTTGTTGAGGAATACTTTTTATCAACTTGGATACAAGACTCTCCTTGAGTGCTAACTCCTTATTGATATTTTGAACTTCGTTATTTCGTTCTGCTTGTCGTAATGTATGCTCCTCTTCTTTTTTGTCGAAGTAATCCAAGCTATCTTCGATATTGTTCGCATCGCCTGTATGTACATATTCCGCGTCTTCTTTGGTGAACGTTACAAAATTTTTAGAGTCCACGGATATTTCGTAATTCAACAATTCCTCGGACGCCTTTCTTTCGTCATTTTGAATATCTACATGCATAAAGTAAGAATACGTGTTAAGGCTTTTTATATATATAAACGCCTACTACATTGGATTTCTGACGTCAGAAGCGAGGAATGACATATATTGACGAAAATTGCGTGCCATTTCTGAATAAAGATAAATATAGGCGAAAGAGCATTTGAGATTGCTTGAACATACTTGTAAAATTGCTTGAAAGTATATCTCTTCCTCACTTCTGATGTCATAAATTTAACATGGCTACAAGGAGCCTTAAAGAAAATTCAAAACAAATTACACAAATCATAAATGAGAAAAATTTACCTAGCATTTTCGTGTATATTATTTTCAATTTGCTACGTTTTTCATCGTTAATCTCATGGCAGATATCAAAGCTTTGTAGAACTTGTTTAAATTCCTCTAGTACTAACGTCATGGCGGATCTAATTTTTTCACGAGCTTGTTCAGCCATTTCAGCTCGTTCGTGCATAACAACAATTTCTGCCAAATTTGAATTTAATTTCTCTGTCATATCTCGAAGCTTTTGCTGTAACGTACTACATTTCTCGTCGAGTTCCTCGTGCTCTTTAGGGCATGTTATGCCAAGTTCCTGGTTCATAAGCGTTAACCGTAATTCTTGAATCAATTTGTTCAGTCGACTTATCTCGGCGATTTTCGGATCTTGATTTACCACAGGCTTATTCTTTATTTTACGTGCACGATCAGCATATCTCAAGGTACTGAGAGTTTCATCCAAATTGTAATCTAATCAATTTTTTTTTAATTAATGGCACATGAAAATAAAAGGTACTAAATAAAGGTAATATTGTAGGATCCAATACGAGTTTAATTTGGCAGCAGCGAATCTCGCAGTTACCTATTTGTGTTTATATTTACCTGTCGCAAAATTGTATTGTATTGTCGCGCAAAAATTGACGATGTCTTTCCATATATTATACATACATTATACGAAATATATATTTTGGTCGCATATAACGAGCTAGCTAGTTATTAACGCCTGAGTTTTCATCCATTTCTTTGCTCAATAGATCCTACAATATATTATATATATGCTACAAATACTAACCTGCAGGACTAACACAGGCAACCATGAGAGTCATAGAATTACCACCCAAGGAATCTTGTAACAGTCTTGTAAGTTTACTATCCCTGTATCCAATATAAGAACCAGAAGCACCATCACCGAGTTGTGAAATAACGTTACCTAAAGCTAAAAGTCCTTTATTTATATTTACGCCTTCTTTAAATCTTTCCCCTGTGGCTTGAGTCTTTTTGCTACGTTCAGATCCTGCTAAATCGACTAAATGAAACTTTGCCACTGTTGCTGTATTTCTGTAAAATAAAGACAAATTACTTTTGCTCCTACAATCAGCGATATTAAATGACAAAAAAATGTCAAATCACTCACGGGTCATCTTTCTTCTGCTGATGAATACAGATAGTAAATATAGCATGGCTACGGCTACTATGTGCATTCATCGCAGTTGCTCCAGTAACACGGCCTATGGAACCCTGGCTCAAACATTCCAATGTTTCTTGGGCATTGGTAACTTCTTTCTCTGTTATACCGATGATCTTTATGCTTTTTCCATCTTCTCTGATGTCTACAATAGATTGACTTCTCTGTTTATCAGACAAGAGATCATATAATTGCTCCTGATATAATTCCATAAATGAAACTGAAATTTTGAAGCTCCAATCTTCTTTTAATTTAATTGTCTCAAATATATCCTGAGTAACTCTGGGTATAATGCCTTTTTCTTCAACTCCTGTGTAATTGGTACCCATTGAATGAGTCTTACCACTACCAGTCTGCCCATAGGCCAATATTGTAACATTGTACCCTATAAAATAGAAAGGAATTATTTATTCTTCTAATTTTTTCAATGAGAGAATGGTTTAAAACTATCCTAAAATTAAATGTATACTGATGTAAAAAATAAAATGAGATATTCACCTTGAAAGATATTATCTATCAATCGTTTAATTGCTACATCATAAAATTCTTCTTGTTCAACATCAGGAGAAAAAACGTAATTGTAAGTAAATGACTTGTCGCTATTGAGTATGCGAACTTGTGGCTCTCCAGGAATTACATCCAAACACATCTGACATCCTTTCTCAATTTCGCTTATCACTAACGGACGGATGCGTAAAGCAACGCGAACAGTATCATCGCACATCTGTAAAGATAATATCATGTCAGACTAGTAAGTGTAGAACAGAGAAATATGAATGAAACACTAAGAAACTTTTGTAATCGGATATTCTTTTTAAAAAAAAGAGATGTTTAGTATGATTCAGTTGTAGAAAATTTGCAAATGCATACTTGATTTTTTTCTAAAAAACGTTCTCAAAATTTGTAAGTTTTCTTCAAACTTTCTTAGAAAGTTAAATCATAAAGAGCCTATTTTTTGTTAAAAAAACTACTTCCACTTACTTTTAGTATCTATCTTGACAAATTCACTCGTGCCAAAGGTTAGCGATATGAAGAATACACGTCTAATCAAACACCGCAAAAATTCCACAAAGTTCACAAGCTATCCGATCGTTCTTCGATCCTGGAAGACATCAAAGACGTTACATTTCAAATTATGTAGGATTGCCAATTCGCGTGATTTTCTTCACGACAGGAGGCCTTCTGCGCATGCGTGAATAATACGATATCCAATAGCAACTGCTACGCCTCACTCTATAACTGCGTTCCGAAATTTACTGCCAGTACTGAAATTCTATAATATACGTAACATGAATTATAGATTTTCAGTACTGGCAGTGCATTTCGGAACGTAGCCTATACATGAGCAGAGGCCCCCTTTCGGCGGAGAAAAAAATCTCGTGAACTGTAGCTCTGATTGGAGGGATGAGCTAGTGGTACAAAGGGTGACAACTGTAGAAATAGAAAGGAACTGTAGAAAGGAAGTCACTTAAGTGCGATCCATTAGATGCTGCAGATATTTTGAAGCACAGTACAGACAAATCATGGCTTCTCTTTAAGCGCTTTAAAAGTTTGCAGCGCTTAATGGATCGCGCCCATTGTCTGTTGCACATGACGTCCATTCTTGTAATTTTGATTGGTACATTTCTGAAGATGGATGGAAATGCACCAATCAAAACAGAGCATTTTCATCCAGCAAGCAATCCAGACGAAACAAGCATCGTATGCCACTGACTTTATAGTGCATAAATCACGAATCAGCTGTCTTTGACGTTAATGATGTTGAACACGCATTTTTGTCGCTGACAAAAGTAAACGAAAATGAGAGGGAAAAGTCAAAGCTTCTTGTTGCATATCAGTGCTTGAGTAGTATACGCGCGTGTATAGAATGGATATAATAAGGGAACATCTACTGGTACCCGCCAAATATATGATATTGACAGACGGAAGAATTTGTCTGACAGTTCACAGAAATTGGCTCGCACGTTTGCTGATAGTGGGCTCGTTTACATTTATTAATCATGATCGAATGTCCAGTGATGAAATCGCGGCGCAACCCACTCTCGAAGAATTAGGCTGCGACTGGATAAGGATTTATGCAAAAGTATATTTTTGACAACTTTTTAGTTATTTTGTGCAAAATATGATGAATGTGTCTTTTTAAAACTACTATTATTATATCATTAGGTATATGTAAAACAGTATAAGAATGCAATTCCTCTACCAAGAGAAAGACCTGCTACCAGCACAAAGAATCAAGCAGAATTGATGTTCTCACAATTGTTACATTATGTAGCTGAAACTAATTACCGAAATTTGTGGAAAGAATCATACAAGAAATATTACAGTATGTATAACTGTACTCTTTATTTTATATTTATAATTTTTAACTACTTTTATTGAATATCAGATATCTTAATTAACAATATTTTGTATATGTATGTACACACAGATCCCTGGAATTTTGTTGACCAAAAAGAACAGTCTAATATTACTGCCAATGTGAGTGATGTTGCCATCATGCATGAAGTACTAGCTAGGATGTATAATTGTACTTTAATACAAGTGCAACATGGTACAGTTTTATCAGTAACAAATGGTGCATTGTCTGAGACACATTGTAATCTAGTACCAATTCATTTTGTCATGGAAACAACATCTGCTTTTATAATTTTTTATGAACAGACTGCAAATTATTCTCTTCGTGAGTAAGTATATACAAAATAATCAAGTTTATTTATTTTTTCATTATAAAGATGATTCTATGAAAAAGATATTTCTATCCTAATAATATATTTATAAATATTAATGTTTAGATGTGTAATGTATAGTCCTGCTGCTCTTAATACAAGTCATGGGAAACCATTATTTGTAGTCTACCAATTATTGAGGCTATCTAGAGACTTACATGATCGTGGTCTTGCATTAGGAGAGATCACGCTTAGTGATATATTAGTCACAGAAAATTTCACTATTCAGGTATATCATATGTCCTACATATTTATATAACATTGTTTTTCGAACTTCACTGAGATTAAATAAACAAGAATTCAGCTTGAGACAATATCTTCCTTAGGTGCTACCAAAATTAAATGACAACATTTACCTAAAACCCGAAAGTGAATATATGAACTCGTCTATTTCTCAAGAGAGTAAAGAAAAACATTTCTATAACAATGCTTATTGTAAGAGAGACAGCATATTTCAATCAAGTAACAATGACTTTGGTTTAAACGAGAGCATTGAGAAATTATGTGAGATGTGGGTATATAACTGTATCAGTAACTTTGATTATTTAACTGCGCTGAATAATTTGGCTGGTAGACGATACGGCAATCCTAGTTGTCATCATGTGATGCCTTGGGTGACAGACTTCACATCGAGGAATGGTGGCAATTGGCGGGATCTAACAAAGTCAAAATTTCGTTTAAATAAAGGTGACAGACAACTAGATCTCACATTTGACTCTCAATCAACCGAGGTGTGTTGACTGGATTCGTAGAGCTTCTATAATGTTGTTTCGTATAATTAAGTAATGTCGTTTGGTAGGTTGGACATCATGTATCGGATGTTCTGTCAGAGATTACGTATTATGTGTATCTTTCGCGACGATATAATAAATCCGTGCTGTGTAAGCACGTACGACCATTATGGGTACCTGGAGAATATCCAGCTTCTGTTCAGAGATTACACGATTGGAGCCCTGATGAATGCATACCGCAGTTTTTCATCGATCCTAACGTTTTTAAGGTAGAATTACAGTCGTGATAATAAGATATCTTTTTCAATTCAATATCTTTGAAGTGTTCCGCACTTGCAGTCTATTCACGAGGACTTGCCGGACTTGGAAGTTCCAGCATGGGCGACTTCTCCAGAGGATTTCATTGAAAAGCACAGAGAAGCACTAGAGAGCTTTTATGTTTCGGAAAGATTACATCATTGGATAGACTTGACTTTTGGCTACAAGTATGAATTTTCGAATTATTCTGGACTGATATTAATAACTGTCAGTAGTTATACTTTTTTTATGTTAACAGATTGTCTGGTTCGGCTGCTGTAAAATCGAAAAACGTTTGTTTGCAATTAGTTGACAATCATACTGACTTGACGAATTCTGGAGTTGTACAGCTTTTCACGCAACCACATCCACAAAGAATTATCCCATCACCTTATTGGGGCAAAGTACCACCACGTCTACGATCGACAGTCTCAACTAATAAAAATAGTAAGTTACATTATCGTATAATTCAAATATAAAGATACGGATCTTTCAAAGATCTGGTGTATGATTACAGAGAATGATCAACTTGTAAGTAGAATCAGTGACGATGAAGGCCATAGTTCTGGCATTGAGGAAGAAGAATTACCTGCAACGGCAGTGAATGCATCGAGATCGTCGCCGCTTGTGCTGAGTCGCTTATTGAGTCGTTCTCGAGGTTCTTTACTATCGGAGGACAATATTAAATCGGATAAATCCGTTAGCCAGCCCATCATTCTTCCGAAGGATTTCAATCCCGTTGCGGCCATCGTGCAAGTAGAAACTATACATACCTTTATGAATAAGGTCAATCATCAAGTGTATAAACCTGCAATTGAATTGCACGATTTTCCCACCAACTACAAGCAAATCGTGGCCAGTGGTCGTATCAAGGAACAGCAAATACTTGGTTGTTTAATAGTAGAAATATTTCTAGCCGGCAAATTCCGCGCGACGTGGAACGCCGAGAAAGCGTCTTTCACGCAGAGACTCACTACGTGTCTGAATACTCTGAGGACATCGGCGGATAATTTGCCAAAATGTATAAGAAACATCGTGTCACTATTTCTACAGATCGATATTATGCCAAAGAGTTATAATATAGGCAATATGGAGATGAATGATATTTCAACGGTAATTTCAAGATATAAACTATCATTAAATCAAAATAGGGTGAATTATTCACAATAATATCAAAATTTCTATTTAGGTGAACGAGATTCCTTTTCGTTATCCAACGATAACGTACATGGGTCTTCCTCCACCGTCCGCGCATCAATTTCTACAACCGATATTATCTGGCAGTCTGTTCCCGTTCTCCAAATATTGTCAGTATTTGTACAACATCGTGGAAATGTTGCAGGAATACAACGGTCTGGTACGAGAATTAAATTTTATCCTGAAGGCCGAAGACGATATGGATTTTGTGATCAAAACAAAGATAAAATATCTGTGCAAAATCAGTGAGTGCAAAGTGAAAGCGATCGCTAGAGAACTGGAATGTCTGCTACCTTATGCCGGTGGTGCTAGAGAAGCTACACTGCAATTAATAGTTCCTCATATAGTACAAATTATGGAAGAACCTTACAGTGCGGTATTAGCTGCCTGGCATCTTTTCGATCCAATAGCGAAGTGGGTGTTATGAATCTTTTTCGTAAAACTGCATCACGTAGCATTCATACGTTTTGTTTCGCATTTCTTTCCATAGAACACTGGGACCGAAAGATACTGCCGAAACGTTCCTCTCACCTATTATCAAGTTATATGAGAACGGCTCGATTATGGACACTACATTGTATGCCGATGTACTACCTGCAGGAACGTTTGCAAAGTTCAGAACTACTCGATTGTATCACAGAACATTCCTGTTGAAACTGATAGTCCGATTAGGACTGCGTAGATTTTTAGACAACTTTATAAATCCTTTGGTGGAAGCGGTAGGAGGATACAAAGATTACATACAAGGCTCGTTTGCCACATGCACGCATAGGACCGGCAATCTCAAGTAAGAGGTCATATAATTATATCATATAAAATAACGTCCATCATTTAATATCACCAATGCTTTCGTGTTATTTGCAAATCTTTACAAAGGAGCTGTGACTTGAGCGGACCTTGTAGTGATGGGGAAGGTATTTTATCTCCATTAGATGAAGATTCATTTGCAGATTCCGAACATACTGTTATTTCGCCTACCGGACCGACGACCAACGATTATGTATCTAATATAACGACGGATAACGATGCGGAAGGTGAGCAATAATTGTTTGGTGGTTAAGTGAATTGCGCGCGTGCTAGCAATTTGATGAGAGTATCTCCAAAGAAAAAACGTCTGATCATTTTTATTGGATTTGTTGCAGAGGTATTCGCCATGGAGACAGAGGACAATTTGTGGGTTTCTTTGAATAATACCGCATATAATATTGATTTGCATATAGATCTCAATTTAAATCTCAACGATGATTTGAATGACGATGCGAACAAAAATTCACCAAGTGGCTCCGTCAAGTCGCCAACGATTCCAATACCTAAACAATCAAATATTTGTGGTGCCAAGTTAGTAACAGAGTTTAATAGTATCGGTTGCAATGTCGGTAGCAAAACCTCTAGCGAAGATTTTACTTACAACAGCGCGTATACCACAAATATTCATTCTGGTAGTAATCTCTCTGAAAGTACAAGTGGCACAGACACCAAAGAAGACAACTCCGTTACGCTTTGTCCCGAACTCGATAACAAATGTAACGTTACCGAGCCTGATGAAAGTATACATCAATTGGATCACATTTATCGAAGATCCATCCCAAGTGAATGTACAGTTTCTGAGATGAGTGCAGAATCTGTTATTTGGCTGTCGCACAGACTCGGCCCGGTGCTCACAGCACGATATTTGTCACGGAATCTCTTGAGAATGCTAACATTGTGTTACGCCGGAAAGGAAAATTTGACGCCGATCGATGATAATAATTTCATATATCTGGAAGGTATCACATGGAAGAAACCGATTTTAGCCGGTGACCAAAATGCTGTTAAAGTGTTAGAATGCCTCACAGCTATTGCAGGTGCGTCATTAAAAGATATTTTAATTTTTCTCTCGTGTAATATCTCGTGTAATACCTAATGCAATAACGATTAATCGATTTTATCAGGATTGTATGGGGAGCAAATTATATTGTTACAATATTTTGCGCACATGGTCGAATTATTGGCATTGTGTAAAAGAAAGCTGACGCAAAATTTGGAAGGAGGCCTAGTATCTTGCTTGGCTCTATTAAATCACATTACGTCATACCTTAGCGATGCCACTGTGATGGATGTGCTTCATGTAATGTTTACCGCATGATTAATTGTTAAATATTTATGGCATAACGAAAAGAAATTTGTAGTACAGCTCACATTTATTCATGTTTGAATATAGGAACCAATCGTTAAATCCATACTGCATCCCACAGTACGTATACTATCAACAGCGAGATTTACGTTCCCAAATGGCACGCTCGCGCGTATCGCCTTGGCTGAAAAATGTCTAGAAGCGATGTTCACTCTCAGCTTACGACTTGGCAGTGTAATTACGAAAAACCACCTAGCGGTGCCAATTCAACGCTTCTTTTTGGCTTTCGATAAAGCTTTCAGTGACAATCTATGCACCGAAAGACCTCCAGATAATCTTGGACAGAAAGCAGGCATATCTAACGACTATCTTGCACGGTAATGATACATTGGGACTTGGAAGACTATGTCGTGTGCTAATAAAAATTCAAATGGAGATATTTATTATTCTTAATATTATATACGCGCAGAATGAAAGGTACCAGTGAAGGGGGATTTGATAATAATGGAACTTATATATGGAACAAGCTCGACACAGACGTGGCGGACTCGTATTCCCCTCCAATCTTAGAAAGTAGCGATGTACCTGATTTACAGAGAAACAGAGTGAGCGGCAGAGTTTTTTATATTATATTTCTTGATAATATAAGTATATATTGAAAATTTCACATCTCTACTTGCAGGCGTTCGAAGAGCTACGAGCCGTGTTCACCAGTGAATTTGCTCACAAAGCATACATGCTCTTTTATAGATGCGTCGATAGCGAGATGATGGAGCAAATACTCAAAAATCACGAGCACGTACAGGAACTATGTCACGACTATGAGCAAGAAATAAAAACGACTCCTCAAAGTATCGGTATATGTTGCATTAAATTTTATTCAATGATATCAGAGATACGATGAGACGATATGTTAATCTTTTGCTTTATTGTTGAAGATAATGCGGACAAGTATAATACGTTGCTTGCTACGGATTGCGATGTGATAGAGAACGTGGAGCTAGTTGATAAGGGTGTTTGTAGTTTCGGAAATATATCTGTGATAGGAAATCGATTTGAGATACAAAAAGATGATGCTAAATCCCAGTCTACGACGGAGGCGAGTGCCACTGCAAATCGCGAAACTTGCTTATCATCCGCTGGCAGACAATTACGCGGTAATTGGCTGGCTTATTGGGAACATGAAATAGGAAGGCCGGATAAAGATACAATATTCAATATAAAGCAAATAAAGCTTCAGATTTTCAGTGGACATACGAACAGTATAAGGTGTCTCAATGTATTAGATAATGAAAATAGTTTTATGAGCGGCGGCAGAGACAAAACCGTGAAGTTATGGAGTTTACGAAGCCAGGTAGAAATTTATTGTTAGTCAAACTATAATCGCTATTTGAATAAGTAGCATTTTATGCTAATATCGAGAGTTAAATTATTGATATTGTACAATCAGGGTGATGGGAATACAGTCTCATCGTGTCAATATACGTACACTGGACACAAGAAATCTATCCTTTCGCTCACATTCCTGGAGTCTTTAAGATACGCAGTGACTTGTGATGGTGTGATTCATTGTTGGGATCCTTTTATGGGTTCGCTTCTCGGATGTCCGGAAAGCAGTCGACCCGTTCCTGTGAACACTTTAGCCTCGAGTCCTTCACCGTCTACGACTCTTCTTGTGGGAACAACAGACATTACCCTTAGAGTTATCGATTGCAGGACATTCCAATATGTTAATGAAATGAAAGTATGTATTTTTGTTATATTTTTTGAACTAGAATGATTAGTGTTATTTATGTAGGAATTAACATTTTTCTAACGCTGATACCTGATAGGTTTCTATGAATCCAACTGGCTTGATAAGATGTATCGCGGTAGCGCCTAGTGGTTACTGGGTTGCTCTTGGTCAAGCATCGGGCTTCTTAACGATACTCGATACTCGCACTGGTTTGATCATCGCGTCTTGGAAAGGACACGAATGCGAGGTAGAGATTTAACAACTATTAACAATTTAAACATCTTGCGTAAGAATTCAGTCTTATTGTCAATATTCTTCGCGCTACAGATATTGCAGTTAGAAGCGATAAACGAGACCACTATAGTCAGTTCTTCATTGGATCAAACAATCGCTGTATGGAGTGCAGTGGATGGTAAACTGAAGTTTCATATGAAGTAAGATCGAGTCGCTGAATCGTAACAAAAATTGTTATTTCTAACGTAAAATCAGGCATACAATATATTACATTTTTATCATTCCTCAGAGGCGCTACGGAACCCGTTCATTGCATGGCGACTTATGAGCAGGAATTAGTAATAGGAACAACAGCAAATCGAATTGGTGTTTATACCGCCGTAGAAATGACAGCATCGTTCTCTTCGTCGAAATTGAAATCTGACGCTTTCAAAGGCGTTCTTACTGCCATGGCTGTCCTTCCTCTTAATCGATTATTGTTATTAGGCGCCGACAACGGTGGTATAACATTACTCTGTTAAGAATTGCATTGTACACAATGCGTACATGAATGGCTGAAATATTAAACATAATTAAGATAATTAGATAATTATTTATATGTACAGTTTAATAGGGAATGTGTGATGAACTTACTACTAATGCACAATAAAAATCCCATTTTTATATATATTTACAACTTTTTATACATAGATAATATCCGTTCTCGTTGCTACCACTTTCAAAGCAAGCTCAGGGGACATTTTGTGTACACCGACGTCCGCTAAAATTTCTGCAGCTTTATCGTTATAATTACTTAGTGCTTCCTGAAGCAACATAGCCGAACCCACTAAGATATTTAAAAGTATACATGCTTCTTTGATTCTGAAAAGATTAAATTAAAATAGTTTTGATGATGAAACAATTGTGATAATTTTACGGACTTACAGCGGAAAGAATGACTCTGGCTTGCTGATATACAAGCCAAATAATGGAAATAAGTTTCTTAAAATGTCATATTGTAATTGTTCAGCACCGCCACTGTTGAAATGATTCACCAGTACAACTTCCTCAAAGAGAAACTATAACAAGGAACATACGAAAAGAGTTTCAAGATTAGTAAACGATGTAATAATATATTCTTCGCTTTTAACATACATACTTGATCAAATTGAGCAGCTAAACTCTTCCAAGCTTGACGGAACAATGGTAGAGCGAGAGCATTGTGCAATATATGAAGACGTGTAGTCAACTCTTGAAACATGGGACAGCCACTTGGAGTTACTGATAATGAAGCAATCTCTTTGGACGACTGCATTGCAAACCATCTTAGAACAATATGACATTTTGTAAATCGAGAAATACATTGAAAATATATTGATAGTAGTTTGATTTTCTTACTTATCAGTTCTATAAGCTCTACTTTTTGCTTTTACATCTAGAGCTACTGAATCGCTGATTTCATTTATTAATTCTTTCTCTAGTCGTTGTAGAAGAGCTACAGCTTCGTCAAACACAGTGCCTTCCACTTCTCCAATACTTTCACTAACATCATTGCCTCTGTCGGTAGCATTCTCTACAGCTTCAAATTGTTTCTTGAAGAAATATAATTGCAAGAAATGCTGTGCACAAACGAGAAAAGTTGTGATAAGTGATATTCCGTTTTGATTTCTCTATTACAGATAAGATACATACGACTGTTATACCCCATTCCTCTAAAACGGTTGCGACATAATGTAACGTGTTGAGAATGTGCGGCATGAGCGACGTTAATGGATCTTCGTAATTTTCATGTAACAGTTGTAACAATCGCACTCTCCAGTCGTCAATCAATTCCAATTGCAGTTCAAGAAACTGCAATCTTCATAAAACATTGTTATAGCGATAGTACCTTTTATTTATAGTATTTCATATTAATTATACCTATGCCCAGGTTGTGGTAAATGTTTGTATCTATCGGAAATTGTGGTGAGAAGCGTGAGGAAAGCGTCTGCACATTCTGTGACTTTCATATCATCTGTATCAGGACCTGCCAACCTTTCCCACGCTGTGTTCGAACTTAATATTGCATCCATTTTCTCGGTTGCATCTATAAGAAGAAAATACATGTATTATTTGAAGCATACGTAAGTAAAATATTTTTGTTACTCACATTTCTTCTCTATATTGATCCATTTTACAAAAATGTGCGCTTGTGTCAGAACAAAGACAGTGGTAGGTTGTGTTTGAGGATACAACAAAGTCTCTCGTAATTCTCGTTCAAATCCTAAAGCTTCGTCTACTAAATGTGCGAATAAAGTATCGTCGTATTGCACTATGGGTAATTCGGAATGAAGCTTTTCCACAGCTAACTGAACTAGAGCGCGCATAAATTCGGCCTATCAATACACTGTAATTAGTGTCTAGAAATTCAAACGCGACTAGTACGTCAAAATTCGACTAATAACTTTATTAGACGTAAAACCTTTATATCTAAATGTCCGAATCCAACAGCATCCGCCACAGGCTGAATGTTTTTGTGCACCCATTGTGCATGATCCTTAATCCACCTTAATATTTGAGTGAAGAACCATTCTGGCTTATCCTGACGATTTGTCAACTTTGATCCTGTAAAATGGTAAATGAATCTCTGTCTAAGTGGGCGTATTAGAAAAGCGACTGGCAAGCTAACTGGTGCAAAATCTGTTAACAGTGCAGATTTTACTACAGGTTTTATCATTTCTTCTCTACACGAATGTATTGAATGAATAGGTCAAGGATAATATTAGTTTATTAATTTTTTTTTAATAAGTTACTGAACGATTGATTTGAGAATTAGAAGGATACGGTAGTTGCAGATGAAACAGATACTCGGTGAGTATCTTAAATCTTGTCATAATTTCTGGCAAGGGTGGATTTATTGAACTAGCATTAGTGCCACAAAAAGGCCATTTTAATGTCTTTAACAGATCATTGTATTCCCTGCAAATTTAAACCACTTTCATTAAGTAATATTAATATACAAGTTATTTAAGATATGTTCAAGAAGAAAAAGTACTTTGATAACTTCTCTTTGATGAGATTATGCCAAAAGTGTAGTGTTTCATGAACATAATTAACCAGATGATGACATGCAGATGTTTGCAGTTGACAACTAATCTCTGTCAAGCTTGTATATAAAGTTATCATTGAATCATCATCACCTGATGATAGAAATGTCTCCATCTCATCGCTAAATATAAATATATTTTAATTGACAAGGAAATAGAACTCATATTGTATTTCTTAGTAATTACCTGATATTTTCAATATATTTTATGAAGTATAGATAGGACAATGATTTGTCTAACTGACCAATTTTGTCAATAATTTCCTGTAATTCTAAATTTTTGTCATTTTCACTAAATGCCTCTTTGATTTTCTTGTTGAGGTCTGTGGAAATTTCCTGCAACTGATCAGCTTCACCTTTGATATGTTCCACGCTTTCAACTACTGCTTTTACCTTGGAAGGAGCAGTAGTCGATGCCATTGATAACTATGTAATAAAAGTTATAAGTATATGTCTTTCACGCAGTATACTTGTAAAAATAAGTATAACTTACAGATTTTTCAATCTCATCTTTTTCTGCTTTGAGATTTCCATGAAAATCGTAGATTCCTTGAAGATTTTTTATGTCAGATCCGAGTTGTGCATTGAATCTTTGTATAATCTTCTGTTTTATATCCATTTTGACGTGCTTTTGCATCAAAAAATTAAAACATACTCAACTGTAATTCAGCCAAAATAAACAATATTGTTAATCTGACTAAAGGTGCGCTTCTGGTAAATATTTGGAGTAGATACAAGTTATTTAACTTTAAAAAACTTGACACTTTATTGCTTTCCTTGTAGTATTGAGAAAATGACTTTTTTAATTCTTAAAATATCTTTCTACTAAAAATGTCGAATGATATACATTTGCTAATTTTTTGATGACACCTCTATTAACCTCTACTATAAACACCACCTAACCTTAGATCTGTTTTTTTCAGCTGCACTGTTACCAGGAGGGCGAAACTCCTCTCGTAGAAGACAGATGACGAACGCCATCATGGTCTGTATCGAAAGTTTGCCTGAATTAAAATGGTCACGTGACGCGGAGTAGGGATACGCGCTATTCATTTAAACCTATTCCAACTTATTCGAACGCGCGTACTAATATATATTTATTGTATATATTAAGTTCAGTAATAAATAATTTCGGATTTCTCAGGTAAAATAAAACGAATTGTATTTGTATATGCTTATAGTTTGATGAAACAATGTATTGTACAATATATATGTACAATGTGTCGTAAAATGTTTCAAAAAATTGCAAAGACATGCAAATACAATTGTTTTATTTCACTTGAAAAATCTTAAATTAAATATTATACAATTCAATATATACATGCAATATTTATAAGCACAAAATAAATATAGAATTAGTTATATTAGAATTTGTATAACATGTATTGGCTTGGTTTACGTCGTGCACTTAAAAAAAGCAATGTGATTGATCCATTTGTCGCTCTGAAGCACTTAGGCCTGGTTACACCAATATTATTTTGGCTTTAAGCGAAACTTAAACATATATCTATCTTTATCTTTCTTTCTAAATAAATAAAGATAGACGTATATTTAAGTCTCGCTTAAAACCAAAATAATGTTGGTGCAACCGGACCTTATACAGCACTAAATAGAACAATTTACAGAACTATGGGCGCGGTCCAACAACCGCTACAAATGTTGCGCAGCGTTTCTCCCTCTTGTTTTATTCCTCGGATTCGAATGAAGAAAGAGAAAGAAGTAAAAACGCTACAAAGCATTTGCAACGCCCGCTGGACTGTACCCTAAACCTTATCCAAGAACTGTATCCCGTCATAGCAACCTAACCTTTTTCATGTGACAGTAGAATGAGAACAGGATAAGAGCAATTGCTGTGATTATTTATATAGCATAAAATATTATAAATATCAATTTTATATCGAGATAAGTGAAATATATGGTTTTATTTTTTAATTGTGCAGTGCATTATAGCACTTGACAGCGGCCATATTCTTTCTATACGATAGAATGAGAAAGAGCACTAGGGACAAATCAACTTTCTCACTCTGTTTTGAACTGCCAACTTTTGGCTTCACTCGCTACATAAGTATAGGAATGCTTGGTCTATGTATATACGTCATTGCACTCAATAGTAAACAGAAACTGTTTATAATATGGCGTCCACGTAGTGATAGGAAAACCGGCTGTGCTGTCCCCGGTCTGTGTACCGAAAAACCAAGCGAACTAATCACTACTGTGTCGCAACTAAAGTATGGGAAGCGACGACATCCGAGTTCGACCTCCTTTCTTACTTCATGACTAAATATGTTGAACTTCTGAAAACATTTCGACGACATTTTTCGCTTGAGGGATTGGCGAGGTTGATATAAATATTTCAGTTAAAGTGACGTTCTTCGATATTTATTTGTTATATCTGATAAAGTTACATGTTAAATTATATGGATACAAATCATGGAGACAACCACACGTTGCACTGAGCCCTTATAGTATCATGGATAAATAATTAGATAGAAGAGGAAAAACAATTATTTAGTCTTACTTCGAAAGGCACATATCCACTTTACTCGGGAATCGCGCTCAATATATGCGCGATTTAATCGATTATATCAATTGTTGGTTCTGTTTGTTGTTTTCGCTTTCCTTTTTTTTTCTTCTCAAGTCGCGACAATCGAACTTGGATCCGCACACTTTCCTTTTACTAACGTATGTAATGTACAATCAGGTTTACTTCGGACGGATGCGTGGAAAGCGATTGTCTCACTTGCCGCATATGCATGCTACGAAACCTCACTGTGGACGGATGAATTCGGACGGACTCTGAAGAAGAAGCGTAAATTAGAACGTGGGAATTGACACGCCGATTCGGCTATACGATTAATTATTATATCACACACTGGCGTACTAATATCGCTTCTGACAGTTTGCAAAACGTAAATTGTAAGTCACTATTCATGAGCCTGCATAGCAATCTGTTGTAATAAGAGTCGAAGTGAGAATATACACTGAGAGGAAAATGCTTGAAAATATGTTTGTAGGATATAAAATTTATTTTTGTAAATAAACTAATGTCCAACAAATAAATTTTCAAGTTCTTTTTTCTTAGCATGTGAGAAATATTTAAGAAAAATCTAGTATCTTTATTATATTTTTGTTCATTAGATAAAAATATAATAGAGTCCCAATATTAATGCTGTATGCTGTCACTTCAGTGCTCTCATAAGCAATTACCAGACAGCTCAAACTTCAAAAAGACATCAGAAAGATATGTAAAATACGTTTAAATAAAAATTGAACGTCTTTTTTTAGAAGTTCACGCTGTCTGAAATTATCCCATGCAAACCCGTAAGCAGTGGCTTGCAATTGTGATTACTTGATGCGCTCCTAACTTCATAAAAAAAATGTGTTCAAATCGCCTCACAAACGAGTGTACTCTAATGTTATCGTGTAATAATTACACGTCGACAGTAAAACGCGAAAGGTATGTGCGGCGTGTCGTTCAAAATATCGCAAATTGAGTGTCTCATACGTCTTTATACGCAGTTGCAAATTCAATCTTTCACATTTTCGATTGCGATCGGGCAATTATTATCGGCAATTTATCCCGAGCGTTTGAAGGAATTCCGACGATCGTTCTGTTCCGCCATATTTGCGGCATGCCTTGAAACGAAGTCTTACATGCGCAGAAACCTGTTTTCTTTTCAATTCCAGGTAATTATGACAATGCGTTTCCTCGAGGAGGAGAAGGATATTTCTCAAGACACCCCGTACATAACAGTGTAGGAATCTAACGCATATTTCTACGCTGCACCTACGGTTCATACAACGAAATAACATATCGCTATAATCACGATAATAATTAATGGTAATTATAATAATTAATAGCAATAATAGTAAATGTAATGGTAATAATATAATCACTTCTAATCGTTGAAGCGACACAGGGATAATAAAATAGAGAAGTCGTGTGTGCTATTCCACGCAACGTAACGTTTAAAATCGGGGTATAAGATGTCTCTTAAGCCTCGGAATATAAGACGTCTCTGAGACATCTTTAAGACGTCTCTGAGACGTCTTATGCCCTGATTTTAGACGTTGTGTTATGTGGAACGGTCATGTTCTGCTCGATGTATATATCGCGTACATCGTGTGTAAAATACATCGACACAATCGATCGACGCGGTGTATCTCTTCCGAAACGCCACCGTTATGTATATACATCCTCTCTTTCTTTGTACGCGATGTAAAAATAGAAGGGGAGCGGGGAGGAGGGGATCGTTGCTGAAATGAACGTTGGAACACGACGGATAGAAAATATCGTACGCATCGCGCGCTAATCGATCGATCTGGCACACATGGACTGACTGGCGCGTTGCTTAAGAATTAATACAAGGGACACTCGCTAATTATTTGAAGGCACGATGCGTGAATCGTTTCGCCGCGAAGAGTACGATCATCCTCGGCGAGGAGGAATATCGGTGCGAATAAGTATCCCTGAAAAAGAAAAGTAAAAAGGAAAGCTCGGTTATCAAGAAGTCAAATGAGATTATTGAAACTACGTGGCGCAAGTGAGAGTTAAGGAAACAGAGAAAAGTAAAGAAGATTCTATCTAGAGAAAAATTGCGAAACAAAAGAAGAACGTTTCGCACTTCCGACAATGAGATCACTAGTGTGCAAATACGTTAAATGCGCGCAGATATTCCTCATCGCGTAATGTCGCCGGGGTATACTCGATGAGTACTTCGCGGCATAATCTAGTAATACTTCAAACGCGAATCGTTTATATTATATCTTGCCACCATCAGCCGTTTCATTAGCAACAGTTTTCACACCTTATAATGCTCGTTTTTTTAATACGTTTTAACGTTAGACGGCCATTAAGACGATTTCGCTAGACGTTGAAATCACAACGCTTATTATTAGTCATTCATTATATATATACACACATATATATATATATGTACATATATATGTATGTATGTGTGTGTGTGTGTCATATTTGCAGTTAAGGTAGAGGATGCACGTTCTTCCCTCCTCTGCCTTGTCTCCCTTAACGTTAATATCGTTTTCTCGACTCTTTCTGTCGTCACATATTAATCAAGCTTCAATCGATATTTGACTCTTTTTTAAAGACATAGACATTGAAGAGTTACAAGTTTTGCATTTAAGAATGGTTACCCGCTCGCGTTGTGTTAATTTTGTCGCGATAACGCTGCTGCTTTGCCACGTGGAACAGAATGTTCTTGTGCGAAATACAACAGAGATAACAGTTCGGTTCGTTTCAGGTCGAGCCGAGTCGAGGTTCCTGTAGAACGCTGTTACTCGTGTTCGATCGAATGGAACAGGAAGCCGAGGGCTACGCACAGACCTGAGAACGTCCGTTCCGCTCGGAGAGAGCCAATGGATTCCTGAGATGTTTCGCGAGAGTCGCCGAGAGTCTGGAGTTTAGAGGGTGTCCAGCAGGGAGTCGAGTAGGTCCAGCTGATTCTCATCCCATCCAGCAGTGGCAATCAGCAAACCCGTAAGATCATCCTCACTTAAGCTCACTTGCGTCGATTCCGGCACCTCGGACAGCGTGTCCGGAATCGGAGGCGACACACTGCTGGGCGGAGTTTCATACAGGGTTGACAAGCAGCTGGTGGGCGGCGTGCAGCTGTTGTGGAGAGCGTTGAGCGTTGTTGTTGCCGCCGTCGTCGTTGTTGCTGCCGTTGTTGTCGCGGACGGGGACTGCCAGTTCTTTGAGCCGCGAACTCGCTGTGATATCGCGGAACGACGTCTGGGTCGTTTGCCCTCCTCCATACGCTCGATCTCCAGTTTCCAGAAGCCGCCCTTGCCCGGCTCGTCTTTGGAGCGCGGCAACTTGACGAAACACTTGTTCAATGAGAGATTGTGCCGAATCGAGTTCTGTCAAAAGCAATAAAAGAGTCGTCAGCATTTACTGAGGTAGTAAGCGCAATGAGATTATTATTTAATCTAGAATTATACGGTTATAAACTTTCGTATTTTTCCATAAGAACAAATCGCAACAATCAGAGCAGAAATAATGACACGCTCTCTACCTGCCAGGCCGGATCGGCGTATTTGTAGAACAGGAAATTCTCACGGATCCACGCGTAGATACTGGAAAGGGAGACTTTGTTGTTGTTCGCGCGCATTGCAAGACATATGATAGTGGCGTAGGAGAACGGCGGTTTCGCATCGGGGTCTGTTCGATACTTTTCAGCGTTTTCCGCAAGATCTGACGAAAAATCGAATTATTACTCATTAGTACAAAATATGTGCAATTTTACTAATGAGTTTTTAATGAGTTTTATATTAGTTTCAATTTGAAAAATGATACATCATTATGACTCAGCTTCCAGGCGTGTGTTGCATTTTTCATAGATTTGTTTTTCAAGTTTCATAAATATTTCAGTTCACTCCTTTAAGAAACTTCTTTAGACTTAGTCTCAGGTGGTTCCTTTACTGAAGAAGTCTCCAGAAGAAGTGAACTAGAATGTTCACAAGATGTTGAAAACAAATCCATGGAGGACGCATTCCGGGACCAACCCGGAAATCAGGCCAAGTATTTCATGATACCGCGGAAGTCTAAAATAATACATCATCCTGTCTGTAATATTATATTCTTTGTAAAATCAATCATTTCGTAGAAAAAGTCTTTTTTTCTTGATAGAATTTATACAAATTTCGCGATATATTTAAGCGTAATAATAATAATTGTAATAAGCGTAATAATAATAATCGGTTGACTATTCACTTTTTGTTACGGTTCGTTCTAAATTATTCGATAATGGATTACCTAATTCGGCTTTGGCCAAGGGCGAGAGCTTTTTCGGGGGATGACGAGCGACTGGCGGCGGAGACGGTGAGCAAGGCGGCGTCGGCAAACTCGACGCGCTGGTGATATCCAAAGATTGCAGCCAGGAGAGACTCGTTAACTCCGCCTCAACTCCGTCATGATCGTCCGTGTCCATGCTGTCCACTGCGGCGGGCGAGCTGCTGTCTTCCGTCGTCACTTCAACTTCTGCTGCCAGGTCTATCCTCATTTTCGCCGTCTCTCATTACCCGGGCGTACGAGCGCGATATGCGCCTATGCAGAACAACAATTATTTCTCATACAGAGCGAATTTTCTAGGAACACATCCGTAAAATCTGCATTTGTAAAAGCGATTGAATTGCGGAAACGCGATGAACGAGATTAAAAGCGAAATTTCTCCGAATAAATGATAAAATAGACGAGATAATTTTACTCGTGAGGCAATGTCGAGGCTTTGCACCAGAACGTGTATTTTCTGTACATTTCACACAAACTCACTATATCGTCGATATTTATCCTGCGAGTTGATGTTAAATCTCGATTGCGCGATTCCCGGAATCGTCCACGCGATATCCGGAGTTCGTGATTCACTGGTTTGCTGAAACGTCTCTTCTGACGTCACAGCGGTCTTTCGTTCTATTTCGCACGTTGATATTATATATCGATAATTCGTGCGTTTTATTACAGTCACGTGAAATGTCCCGGGCAAATCAGAGGTATCCAAGGACACGTAGCTTCGATTCCGCTGAGAAAAACGCACTGCCCGCGCGAGATAATGCGTCATCCGCCGACACTCGTTCACGGAAAGAGCGCCGCGACATCGATCACGACAGCACACTGGAGTTCGCCAGTATTGTATTCGTCAATATCTCCCACGGAATTGTCTCACAGAATTGTCCTTGTGCTGTAGTATCCTCTATTGTACTAGCGATATTTACATTTGTCGATGTTTGAATATGGCGTTAGAAAAACTTTCAGCGAAATAACAATAGATATCAATCGGTATCACACACTGTGACATCCGGGCCCATAGGAGAGACTTTAAATCACGTCGATACGATGTGACAGTTATCATCTCTTATCATATCACTTTTGAATGATATTTTGAGTTACCAACGAATATTTATCGCTAATACAATACAGCGTGACGACGTTACCGAACAGGTGACATACGTACGAAATAATAAACGACGCAGGAGAACGAAAGCGCGTGTGTACACGGTACGGTCGGACGAGTTCGACTGGTAGCAAGGGGTGGTACGTGCGTTGTCTGTTGTCTACCTGCTCGCTACCGACCTGGTGGAGGTAGTCGGTGCGCGTGCGGTGACAGGTGCTGGGTTCCCTTTTGCAGGTGGACCATGCACACATGCTTGACAGACCTCGTCGGCGACCCTCTTTTCTTTTCGAGACCCTCCCCTAACATAGGGAAACGAAACGGGGAGCTCACCCTCCGTGAGTCTGGTGGATCATGGCGTATATATCGTGCGCGCATGCCGCGCCGAAATATTTCAGACCGTGGATGATAGGAACGCGCAACGATAAGATTGCGTATTAATCGAGTTATAAAATACATCGGCTATGTAGCACGCGCGTTCAAAATTCCTGCTAGTTTTTCTCGACAAAAGGATAGTTGAATTTTTTGAACACAAATCTCTAGATACCACGTGTCGATATACATATCGTATGTCCTTGAACTAATACGGGCTACTTAGTTTGTTTATGCTTGAACAATTGCTTGATTAATTTAAGAATGTGCAATCTATAATTGTAGAAAAGTTTATTAGCTTCAAATTCGTCAGGAATAAATACATTTCAAGAATAATAATTTGGGAATATATGTAAAAAGATGCACAAAGTTACACAGTCTGATGTGTTGCTGCGGTGATCATTGATCTTAGATTTTAGCAAACATATGTTATCTATACAATGTATTTTCAGGTAAGATGGATCGCAGGACGAGAATGTAATGGGAAGAGGCGGCGGTACATGTATTTCGTCCTGCTTGTGCCTCAGCGGGGGTGGACGTGTTCGCCCATTTGCCTTGGTACAGGTGCCTCCATTGATCGAATCGGGGAGGCAGCGACCGCCAGTTACGATAACCAGGAGTGAGAAAGAGGGGAAAGAGCCGCAGCCATTCGACCAAGACGAGAATGGCGTGTGAGATTCGCCCGGACCTCATCATCATTGGTCGGCGTCCGTCGCTGGCTAGGATCAACACAGATGTAGAACAGTCACGTACATGTAAACTGATTTGGGCGTTTTACAGAGGGTTGATCCACCTCTAGGGGGTGTCTTCTTGCATGGCGAAAAAAATAACATGAGAGGACATGCGACTCTTTAACGATCAAACAAAAATTATCAGAAGATTCCAATAAGTTTCCTGTTTGTATCCGTGACTTGTTTTTTCCACGTCAAATCCTTTCCCGGATTGCACAATATTGCGTATTGTGGGTCATCTTGTACAATATTCCTATTAATTTGTCTGTAATTACGAGTTCATTATTGAATTCGCCAAATTCTATTACGTTTAAATTGTAGGTTTCACGTGGGAGTAAAAAACAAAAAGGAATTTAGGCGGACGCCATCGCCAATTCTCCCATCGGCTGCATCGTCAAAGTGGAAGTATCTGCACGACGGATCAATAATCTCCTGGGAACATCCGTTCCCCTGTCGGCCCTGCTGAGTTACCCAGCTGGCTAGCTGGCTGGCTGGCTGGCTGGCTGGCTGGCTGGCTGGCTGGCTGGCTGGCTGGCTGGCTGGCTGGCTGGCTGACCACCCTGGCGGTGGTGGTAGCAGCAGCAGTACCCAGCCAGTATCAGCAACCAGCAGCCAGCTAGCACCTGCCGCCCTTCCCCGCGCGTCGCGGCGTCAGGTTGTGAGTCACTACCACCTTTTCGTTATATGCGTTACGTTACATTTACCTGCCCGCCGCTCGCAAAGCCACGTATTACGTGCAACAACGTAACATTATGCGCCATGTAAAAAGACATCATGGAATGGCGTGGCGTATACAATCTATTCGAATCGATTTAGACGTTATTACATTAGCGAAACTTCCCTCTGGCTCCCGTTTGATTATATTCGATGCTATGGTCGAATAACGTAATGACGAATCTTCGAGAAATGGAGAATATGTAGAGCACAGTATGTGAAATACGATTTGCGACTACACTTGGCTGCAATCTCGAAATTATACGACACGTGAAGATTCCCGCGGTGACGTCGATTCGATCGTGTTTAACGACAAGTGCGACTCTCTGATTTTCTTTGTTTCGAGCGATCTTGAAATAGAAGGAAATTAATACGTCGCATGCGATGCGCAAACGGGGCGAACTTAGCAGACACGAGAGCGTCTGAACGTCCCTTCGAGGAGCGCAGGGGTTGAGCGAGCCGCAGCGAGCTGGTGTGTCCTCCTGAGAAATAGTAACAGGTCATCGCGATAGCAATGATGTGGACGTATTTCAGTGGGCAATTTAAAAGACCAGATAATACGCAAACGTTACGGATATAGACGCGAAGCTAATACGAGCATAGAGTTCCGGGAGGGCGGAGGCGCTCGCATCAATTATTCAAGAGAATTGATTCCGACGAGTGCAGCAGCAGTAGCAGACAATCTACCGCCGCAACCATTGTGGCGATAATGACGTTCATGTAAAGTCCATGAAATCGTCACTATCCTAAGCGTTATAATTCCTTCCGACGTTGAGTCTTGGAAAATAATGAAAAAACTATGCGACAACGATGATGATGATTATGATGACAACGTCGAATTTTTCCAAAGATCCTCTGTCGTCGTATTTTCACTTCCAAAATTGTATTAAATTTGTTTGTTTCAAATTTCTCTCGATTTTCATGTTGGTCCTCGGGACTCGTTTGTGTGTTGCGTCAAAATGACTTGTTGCAGTATCTCTCGATGTAATTGTTGATTCATGTTGAATCGCACGATAATCTCAGAAAATAATCTACAGAAATGTAAAGCTATACTCACCGAAGTTGCTCGTGGTCGAGTTGATACGGATGCGCACTTGATTGTTAATGATCGATGAAGATACAGGATTATTAAACGATGGGTAGTCTTAGCATCACTTCGAAGATACCAATTACGAACTACTGGCCTCGGTTTGCCGAATCGAAAGTTCAAATTGCGTAAAGATCATGCGCGATACTATATTATCTGTGTTTTAAGTTATAACACGACACTACACCACGTCGAGTTCACGCGTATAACAGATTATCAAAAATTAATCGGACACTTTTAATGCGGTTACTTCGAATCTCGCGAATGAATTGTTTGTCATGTTTGTCGCGAGAGATCCGACAGCATTCAACACCAATAAGTTAATCATAGGTCGCCGGTGGCTTTGACAGAACTGACGGATATCACCTCAGGAGCACCAGCACCGTCAATCGCCATAGTACCAGTGTACCGCCATCTTCTTACCTGTACAAACGGTACCACTACGACAGGTGCGCGTACACGATCGTTGGAGTTATCGATTATAGTTATAATTTGTTCCTGCGAAGTTTACTCTAGCATAAAGCGCGGCAAAGCAATTGTTCGGTCTGGACTGGACACAAATGTAAATATAAGAACGACTTGCAAATGTGCATACAAAACATTAATAAATGATCATATTTCTGCAATTGGAAACCGAAGAAATGTTTATAAATCTGTTCTATATCGATGTACAGATACGTTCCGTTCAAGAAGGACGTTTTCCGAATAGCTTTGGAAAATTTCATTAATTGTAATAATTTAAATAATTGGTCGATTAAGAAAACGCGACGAGCGGCGAAAAATATCCTTCGTTCACCGGCGAAGCACCTGGGCCCGCAGCTTTAGAACCTGCTGGCAGATAAACGGTCGCGCCTGCCGGTAGATAGAAGTTCGTCGTTAAGGAATCATCAAGGCGTGAACATCCTTCGACATACGGGCTAGGAAAAATTCAACGTTAATGCAACACACAGGAAAAAAGAAGTGTAGTCTCGTATGCGAGTGTCAATGATTTATTTCCATTACATTACAGCACTCTTCTTAACATTTGATACTCGTATTTAAATCTGTCCTAAGAAAATCACCGAAAAAACGGCCAATATTGGGTATTATCCTCTGTACCGTCACGGCGGATTCATTTTGCCGGCGGTACCTGCCGAGCTTCCTTTGACGCTTCTTACAAAAAGTCGTGGAAATCAAGACTTTTAGGCAAGATATAATTATGCGTATATATAGGTATATACATAGGTATATAATCCGCACGCATACATACATACACACACACACACACACACTCACACACACACATACATACATACATTCATTCATATATGCATACATACATACATACATACGATCCGCTAAAAATTCATCGAATTAAGTTACATCGGTACCAAGAGAACCGAGAAGAATCTTTTCTTTCTTTTTCTATTGGAGCACGACGTACATATCTAGATTTTGTATTGAACGAGAAAGGCAAGAGAAGAGAGGTGGAGATGATGGAACGGAGAGGGGGAGGAGAGAGAGGGAAGATGACGTACACTTTGGCGCGTATTTGAACAGGAGGACAGAACCTTTGGATCACCGCGCGATACGTCATTTTCGATGAACGTCAACTTGCAGACGCACACCCCTATTCGCTATTTGCGGTACGACTGTCATACCATGACAAGACGATACGATTCTAAGCAAGATGACGACGCGACGGTCGGTTTCGCTACCTATACCTAGATCATCGGGAGTGCGGTAAATCCATTCATGTATGGTAATCGGAGAGTGAGAGTCCGAAGGACTGGCAAAAACCAAGGTACTATGACGTGACGTGCCCTGTCGCGCTGCCGTCTCGACTTAAGGTTGATTGGCGGTGAACGGCGTCACTCCGTTGTTGGCCATATTGTCCAAGACGCCGCTGATGTATGCCGCAACGTCGATCGTCGCCTCCTCCGCTCGTCTGATAAACGGATGCTCCAGCAGTTTATTGTATTTCGGTCGCTGAGTTTCCTCCTTAATTAAACTTAAGACAAATAATACATGCACATTATATAACGTCGACAGGGAGAAAGAGAGAGAAAAAGTATCTCAAGTTATCGACGGACCAGTGTCGATGAAAATAGGTATGATAATAGAAATCATTTTACCATGTATTCACAAAATTTACGAAGTCCATAGTGAAGTGATTCCCGTTCTCGTTAGGAGAAAGCCGCGGCGGGTCGCCTTGAACCAC